ATCAATATCACTCGCTCAGTTGCTCGTCAGAGACTCTGAGTTCAGTCCTTCAATACAGCTTCAAATGAGTCCAACCTGGCCAAAAAAGAGTGAACAACGAACAAAAAAAAAATTAGAACAGGAGACAAGCATGCATGTCTGTTTTAACACCAGTACACCACAAAGGCACAAACCCAGAAAAAGGAAGCGAGTTCAAGATCCTTACCCAGAAAAAGACTTGGACTCTTTCTGGATGCTCGTCGCAATCTCTCTGTCTCTACTCTCTGTGGACTGGGTGTTCTCAGTTCTGGGTAGAAATTTAGCGAAGGACGAAGGTCAGGATGGTGACTGGTGACCTCTGAAATCCCCCTATATATAGCAGTACGAGTGTCAAGAAGAGTCAGTAGATTGAGGATGCAACGAAGATAATCGAAAGAAAAGAAAGAAACTAGAATTGACTTATCTGTTATCGACGAACAATCAGGGATTTGAAGTCCAAACGACTCATTTTTGGCCTGTGCTCGACGAAATCGGCGTCGGATCGTTGCTCTTCCAGCCATGCAATTGGTCGAATGGAGGAATCGAAGATAGATCGTAGTGAAACTAGGAGAGATTCGAGGATTTGGAGAGGAGAAAAGGCAAAAAATCGCGATTATCTTGCGATTCGCCAGAGAAGAGGCAGAGAGAAAGAAGGAAACTAGGGTTTGGTGTTTTTGGTCTGCGATTTGCAAAATGAGGAATGAGGGGCGGCTGCTAGGGTTTCTCAACACAGAACACGAATATATATATGGAGGGCGAAACGGCGTAGTTTTGGTGCACGGGTAACCCACCGGGCGGGTTACGGGGCGGATAGTGACCAAACCAACCCCACCCGAAAACCAGGGTTGACGGATCCCGGTTTCCCCGCCACCCGTTGACGGGCCTGTGCGACCAGCCCGTTTGGGCCCTTAACGGTCGGGCCTCGGGCGGGTATCCGCTAACGGGCCCGGGCCTGCCATCCCTACTGAATAGTTAATCATTCAGCTAATTTAGTTTTAATATGACCAAATAATTAATAATTCAACTTTCATAATAGTATTAATTGATTATCCTGTTTTGTTTTCCTAATTATAAGGTCTCATATGCCTGAATAGTTAATCATTCAGCTAATTCAGTTTTAATATGACCGAATAATTAATAATTCAACTTTCATAGTATGGTTTATTAAGTTCTTTAATTTCAAATTAAATAAATATTTTCAGAATTTTTTCCATTTTCAGTTTTAAATGGCTACACAATTAGTCGTTTAGACATTCATAAGTTATTCAACTTGTATATTGTTTTCTTAAGTCCTTTAATCTAAAATTAGATCAATTAAATTCTTCAATTCGAAAATTTTAAATGATACTACACAATTAGTCGCTTTGACATTCCTAAGTTATTCAACTTGTATATATGTTTTCTTAAGTCCTTTAATATAAAATTCGATCAATTAATATTGAAAATTTTAAATGATACACTGTGATAAGTAATGAATAAATAAAAATATTTTTGAATTACTGATATTACCATACATTCAATCTCAATTATGAAAATATGGTGTATTACATAACATTGAAATGGATTATTAATTATTTTATTTTTCAATTCCTATTGAATCTACTATGGCAGAATTTGTTTTGTTTAGATGTTATTTTGAGCGACTCTAATCATCCAAATAATATGTGTTTATATTGAAAAATTATTTTTTTAAATTGTTTTGCTTAATTGTTTTTTGCTTTTTCGTAACAAAAAAAATTACCGGCCCCCCGAACATGGAATTTTGGCTCCGTCCTGACAATCACAAACTCAAATTCAATGTCAGGACTGAAACAAGTATATACTTTCTCAATAGCGCCAACAAACAGGACAATGACGTTAATCGTTAGGTTATGCGAGATTTAAATATTAAAATTGTAAATAGCTAGTAATCACTAATGACGTGAAAGTAAATAAATTCTTACGTTAATAATTGACATATATTATTTAGAGATGACCGCCAAAGGAAGGAAGGATTCCATTTTAGTAGAGATTGTGGCATCCCTAGCATGCATGCGGTAAAATAATCCGATTCCATTTTAGAAGGTAGGAATTAGTCTATCCAACTTAATTAGCTCTACCCTATAGCTACACGGTTTTAGAAATAATAACTACTAATCCCAAAAGGAAAAGGTCATTATCCTCCCCTATAAGTACTAACATGACGGATCAGTCTCCCAAAACCATCCACACAACTTGCTTCGTAGAGATTAACTACTACGTACACATCGATCCTTGCTCGTGTGCTTGATTATTTGTACAGCACGAGAGATGAAGAGTCGTGGCCATGGATTGTCTTGCGGGATGCTTTTGCTCATGATCATGATGTTTGTGCCGAAAATGGACGCTGCAGTTTCGTCGTCTCTCAGAGTGGGCTTCTATAGACGATCCTGCCCAGCCGCCGAATCTATTATCGCAAGAACGGTGAGAAGGGCGGTGTCTCAAAATCCCGACATCGGCGCCGGGCTAATTAGATTGCACTTCCACGACTGCTTCGTTCGGGGTTGTGATGGTTCGGTGCTGCTGAAATCCCTCCCCGGCGGGCCCAAAGCGGAGAGAGACCACCCGGCCAACAATCCCGGGTTGAGAGGGTTCAACGTCATCTCCAAAGCCAAAAGAAGAATCGAGCGCATCTGCCCCAACACAGTCTCATGCGCCGACATTCTCGCTTTCGCCGCCAGGGACAGCTCCCAGATACTCGGACGCATCAACTACCCTGTCCCCGCTGGCCGGCGCGACGGCCTCGTCTCCAGCTTCAACGAGGTCACACCAAACCTCCCTTCCCCGAGACTCACGGCCGACCAGCTGATTCAAAACTTCGCCAGTAAAGGGTTGTCGGCCGACGAGATGGTCACGCTCTCCGGTGCGCATTCCATCGGCAGGTCCCGCTGCTCGTCGTTCTCTGACCGGCTCTACAACTTCAACGGAACGCGTGCTCAAGACCCGTCCCTGGACCGGAACTACGCGGCTACTCTGAAGGCCACGTGTCCAGCGAACGGCGGCAGTGATCCGACGGTGGCGATGGACCCGGCAACGCCCAATCGGCTGGACAATACTTACTACGCGGAGCTGAGAGCAGGGCGGGGGTTGCTGACGACGGACCAGACGTTGGCGGAGAGCCCGGCGACAAGGGGCTACGTGGATATGAACGCGAGGTTTGGTGTGGCGTGGGCTGGCAAGTTCGCAAGGGCGATGGTGAAGATGGGCTCCATTGATGTGCTTACTGGGAATCAGGGCGAGATTAGGAGGCGGTGCAGCATGGTCAACTGACGAACACCGGAGCTAGGTAGCTAGCTTAGCTAGTTAGTCACTTTTGTTTGTTTATTTCTCATTGTTCATCAGCTAATTTATTCAGTACTATACTTCGTAATGTAATTGTCAATATTCTTTATCCGGAATTAATGTTTGATTGATGAGTAGCTTTTAATTTATCATTCTTCTTGGCATGGTATTATTTTAATTGTTGATTTTTAGCATTTGAAGCATCAAACCGTACAAACAATGCAGGTAAAAGCGCGATTCTACCTAGAAGCGGAAAATTGGTAAAATCGTAAAACGTAGAATCAAAGCGTAAAAGCGTAAGTCTTTGACCCACCCTCTAAAATAGCTAAAATATGTTAGGTACAACATATAGTATGTAAAATGTGAGTGTGTAGATTTTAGATAAGTGAATAAGTACATTAAATTCATAATTAAAATATAATATCTAACACATAAACTAATTTGTGTTGACTCAAAAGTAGAGAAAACTCATAACATCTTAATAGTATGCACATAAGTGTAGATCGTAACCCGTAAACGAGCTTGAGAATCCAAATTCTCATAAGCTGGTTTGAGTTTACATAATTACATATGATCAATTACCAATAAACTTTTATCGTAACCCAGGTAAGAGCCACAGGTGAAAATTAAGGGAGAAGACTGATCGAAGGTCAGCGGCTGTTGAGAATACCATTAGGTGTCTTTTCAACATATTGTGAAGCCCCTATCTCGACAATAGTTGTAGAACGAGTGATGAATCACGTTTTCCTTTTTTATTTTTTGCTGATATGTCTCCAAAATTACATAATTTTGGGCCAATTAGCACATTTTTATGAGATGATCAAAACCATATAAAAATGATTCAGAATCACGATTTTACCGATTTTAAGCGATTTTACCGATTTTATCCATGTTTACCAGTTTTTGTGACTAATCGACTTTAGGTAGAAACTGAAACATTTTGGTGGCCTGGATACGTAAAAAAAAATTACGTTTTAATGTGCGATTTTGACTGCACTGCGTACAAGTAATTCTTTCCCGCGAGTGAATCATTTTACGTTTAGAAAATAGGGTTAATAAATTTCGTTAAAAAATATACGTAAGTTTAAAATTCTCGGGGGCCTCACCTAGCTCCGCCCTTGACAATCATTATGTGTAACGACTAGCACTAATATTAATTAATAGAATGAAACCAATCTGCATACCCATAATCAGTAAATCATAATCTCAAGTACATTCTATAATGCATACTTTTATTAACTAGCTGACATGAGAGCTTTAATATTTGGATGATTAACAAGGTTGCAATAAAAATGATTGAGATGATATTTGAAGAAAGTTCCATCCAAAGCATCTTTAGAAGCATTGCTTCCCCATCTTCATTTTTATCATAGAAAAGCAATTATTATGTAGTAAAAACTAAAAAAAGCAATTATTATGTAGTAATCTCAATAAACATATGGCACAAATGGACTCGTCCACTTATTGGATCAAAGAAGTCGTTGGACAACTGGAGAGGGACCGTTGACAAAGACCGATGAAAACCTCAGCCGTGGATCCACCGGAGGCGGCTCTTACGCCAGCCGTCGATCCCACCTTAACCGCCAAATACGTCCACGACGAGGAAGATAATAATAGCAAAAAAATTATAATTAACAAATAAAATAATAGAAAAAAGGGTCTCGTGGCGCGTATTTTCGCTTCCCCTTCCTCGCATCTACTCAGAAGCTCTTCAATTCCGTCATTTTCTTTCAACTTCAACAGCAAAAGTCAAATAACTGAGCCTTTCTTTCTTCCCCCATTTCATTCCTGTTTATATAAAATCAATCTCTGGTATCTCCCCTTCAACAACTGAATTATTCCCTTAACTAATCCCATTCGAAAAATCTAAGCAGCTCCCGCATTACAAAGACAGCTCAGAGGTGAAGAAGGGAGGAGCAGAACAACAAGAAGAAGAAACATGGCAGGTTACCCGCACAGCAACGGCGGTGGAGGTCAGTACCCAGAATTTCCGGCGGTTCCCACTCACGGCGGTCAGTTTGTTCAGTACGACGTATTTGGGAATCAGTTCGAGATCACCCCCAAGTATCGCCCTCCGATCATGCCCATCGGCCGCGGCGCCTACGGCATCGTCTGGTACTTTGAAATCCCCATCTATCTCTCTATTTGGAAAAAAAAATTATGGATCTTCTTATTGGAGTGTTGCTCCCCTTTGATTGTGGGTTTTGATTTGCGGATTTGGGGATTTTGTGATGTGAAGCTCGGTGTTGAATTCGGAGACGAACGAGATGGTGGCGATGAAGAAGATAGCTAATGCTTTTGACAATCACATGGACGCCAAGCGCACCCTCCGCGAGATTAAGCTGATGCGCCACTTGGATCACGAAAACGTCGGTGATCTCATCTCGATTCCGTTTCTGATTCAGTTTTGACTTTTTTTTTTTTTGGGGTTTGGAGGGATTTGGCCAGATTGTGATGGGTCGATTTCATAACAGGTGATAGGAATCAGAGATGTGGTTCCACCGCCGTTGAGGAGGGAGTTTAATGATGTCTACATAGCAACTGAGCTCATGGACACCGATTTGCACCAGATCATACGATCCAATCAGGGTTTGTCCGAGGAGCATTGTCAGGTAAAGCTGCCATTCTTCCTTTTTCGTCTGATGGGTTGGTTGTTTGTTTCCTTTTGAATTGTGGGATTGATGTTTTGGATTGTGGTCTTCTTGGCTTGTTGCAGTATTTCCTGTATCAGTTACTCCGGGGATTGAAGTACATACACTCTGCCAATGTGATCCACAGAGATCTGAAACCCAGCAATCTTCTCCTGAATGCAAATTGTGACCTGAAGATCTGTGATTTCGGCCTGGCACGCCCTACTTCGGAGAACGAGTTCATGACTGAGTATGTTGTTACGAGATGGTACAGGGCGCCTGAGCTGCTGCTAAACAGTCAGGATTACACTGCAGCAATTGATGTCTGGTCAGTGGGCTGCATTTTCATGGAGCTTATGAACAGAAAGCCCTTGTTTCCTGGCAAAGATCACGTCCATCAGATGCGATTGTTGACAGAGGTAATAAACACGTTGGTGTCTTAGAAGCTAAAGAGGGGAAATTTCTGGAATTGGAAAGATGATTATTTTGGGGGATTGACTGTTTGTTTGATCAAAATCTAATTATCTAATGTGGTTTCATGTTGTCTTCCCTCCCTGCAGCTACTGGGCACACCAAGTGAATCTGAGCTGGGGTTTGTGAGGAATGAAGATGCTAGGAAATATATCCGGCAGCTCAGCCCACATCCTCGACAGCCATTGGCCAAACTTTTCCCTCATGTTCATCCTTTGGCCATGGATCTTGTGGACAAAATGCTGACATTTGATCCTACAAGAAGAATTACTGGTAAGTTCGGGTTCTGATATAGACATTTGATCCAAAACTTTAAACTGTCTGATAATTTGAACATTACCACTACTTGCTAACATTGTACCTGTTTTCGTGGCAGTTGAGGAAGCATTAGCACACCCATATCTTGAACGATTGCACGATATAGCAGATGAACCGGTCTGTACGGAGTCTTTCTCCTTCGATTTCGAGCAACAACCTTTGGTAGAAGAACAGATGAAGGAGATGATTTACATGGAGGCATTAGAATTTAATCCAGAATATGCATAGAAGTGCAAAGAAGAGTTATGTTAGTTCTGCTTGATAGCCTATATCATTTCTGTTATTTCTTCTTCCATTGGAAATTGCTCCTGCAAATCCTCATTTGCACTGAGAAAAGAGAAGAGCAGAGCAACCACATTAAACCGAGCAAAATTACAACTGGTGGTGGTGAAAGAACCAACCCCAAATGCTGCACTCTCTTCATGCTGCAACTACCTGGTCAGGAGATTACACCTTGTAAGATCTACCCTGATGGTCCTCTCTGCCATCACTGTAAAACCTGTACCAAATGTAATATTGTAATTCTTCTTTGGGAACCTTACACGTTATGTAACTGAATAAATTTCAAGTTAGTTAATAGTTATGAGGTTATTTGAGTTTATCTTTTTCAGCATGCTAACAAAATATCTATTCGGAGCTGTTATATGTTCACTCACATGACCTATTTTTCGCCGTATACAATCTCGTTAATATCATCAATCATCAACCTGGTTTCATCAACCAGTCCCTATTAGGCTATTACATGATTGAAAACTTCTCTTTCTTTTTTCCGGTTGAATAATTTAGTTATCAGTCGACAAAAGCAGCACCACTAGTTTGGCCGAGACAGTAAGTGCAGTAACTATTTGCAGCATGATGTGCAAAAGTAAATCCACTCATACCTCCATAGACATTGTATCCTATGAATTCCATCACACCACGAGAATTGGACTGCCACCAAAGGTTGGTGTTCAAGAGGCATAATCAAAGCTTCATTGTCTAGTTCAAGACACTTGACAGAATCTCATCATTTCAGTTTTGCTGTGCTTGCTGTAGACCACCAATGAGCTCATCTGGTGGCAGTCGTATTCATCATCGTGTTCTCGAAACAGTAGGATTGGTGATGCTGACAGACTACTGCAACTGTTATTCTAGATCATGATTTTGAACCTCGCCAGCCAGGCTACCGATCCAATTCAGCATCAACTGTCTGCGTCTTCATTATTTGGCACCACCAATTCGACTGAAAGGGACCAGAAGAAGCCACTGTCTGTGATGCTGCTTCATCGATGAGAGAACAAACTAAAACCACATGACACCATCGACTCGAATGGTTGTCACGCACCAAACAAGAACACCTTGAAAATGTGGCAAATTTGCAGTATCTTCTGCATTTGTCGTTTGCGCTTGGGAGAAGGAACTGGGAGAATAATAAAATGCTAAGTGCTGTCCATTCTGCTCTGATAAAATCCCCCAATTGATTTCTTGTTGGGGCTTTAAAGTTGTTGATCTTAATCCTACACTCTAACCACAAGACCCTTATTTTTTTTTCCTTCACCCTTAATTTTTACAAAGACGAACAAAAGCACAAACGTCTTCCAATATAATTATTGTCGTAGTAGATGATTTTACTATCTTTGAGATTTTAATGTAAAATTAATAAAATGATTAAAATTTGCTGACTTTACTACGATATCTTCAAGTAAAAATTACCGAGACTTAACAGTTAACATGAATCTCGATCTTTACTTGAAGTCATACTTAAAATTGAAAGTTTTTCAAAAAATCTTAGCATGGCGGATCAAGCTGCTTATTGAGTAATAAGTAGTACAAGATTTACATTTGGGATAAAAATGATGCAAGAAGACCATCATATTTGCACTTTTGGGATCTGCTGAGGAACATATGGGGAGGACAAGAAAGCTATCTGCTACAGATTTTGTCGTCACCGCACCCTTGCAGAGGGATGTTGAATGATTAGTTGCAGGGAAGTGTGTTTAAAGAGACAAAAGAATGAATGATTCAGCCAGATTGCTGAATTAATGGACCATCTCAATTCAGTGTGTTGGGTTAACCTGATGATTCCTCTTCATATCCAGTACGATCGGATGGCTTGTCACGTCCTCGTCGTCTAAGGTTCGCTCTTGTTAGTATATTTTGTACAGTCAAATGGTCCGATTTCCTGATTTTTCCTCTTCTTCACCTGCAAAACCGAAAACCCAACAAGGTCGGGTTCAGACCACCAGCAGAGTAATCAATGTGTCGGACACGACACATTCCTGTTACATGATGAAAAGGAGACATACCGGGGACCAGGGACCTGGTTCAGGTTGAGTTTTTTCAGGAGGTGAATGTTGAACAGCGCCACTCTTCTTTGTCAAAATTTCCTGCCAGGAAGACAAAGTTCTCTGCACCGTTAGCGTCAGTAAGAAGTTTTTTTTTTTTTGTGTGTGTGGCTTAGGCAGCAAGCTGCTGGGAAGGGGAAAAATTAATCTGCTAACTTGAAAATTCGTTAGCAGATACTAACTGATATCCAAAATACATGAACTAGTATCCAAGTACTAAAGTATCTAGAGATCACATACTAGTATTCAAAGTTTGCTAACTGATATCCACCACGAATCAACTATTATCTCAAATTTACAAACAAATATCTAGACAACACAGAATAGTATCCATACAACACATAATTAGTATCCACATAACACATAAAAGTATCCAAATAACACATAAGAGTATCAATATTGGATACTAGTTGGTTGATTGTGGATATTAGTTGGTATCTGCTATCTGGATACTAGTTTGTGATGTTTTGAATACTAGTCTGTGCTATCTAGATACTCAGCAAACTTGGATACATGTTCATACATTTTGGATATTAGTTAGTATATACTAACAACTTATGCAGTTAGCAGAATAACTAGGCTGGCTAAGAAGGGTTTACCTCTCCTGCAGCTTCGATCGCAGCTAACCATTCCTCGGAGAATGGTGCAGCATCTGGCGGGAGTTTGATTGCAGCAGGTGCATCAGCTTCCTTCTTCTTCTCATCCACAGTCTCGATGCTGCTGCAATAACGGATGATGAGTGATGTTAAATGCATTTAGCGAAGGTGCCATTAGATTAAGGCCGAGAAGAAGAAGAAGAAGAGCTGGTTCAAGATTCTTTACCACGTCAGAGTATCCAACTCTATGTCATGCTGGAATGCACTGCCATGAATATCAGGTCTTTTGTCCACCTCCAGCAAAGTGTCATCCTCCTCAGAGGATTCAACGTCCATATCCTGGACCATACTTTCTTCACTTACACTGTCACTAGGATTTACTTGTGACGTTGGCTTTTCCTTTACGGTGCTAGAGTCGCTGGTACACGCTGTCTCTTGAATCTCATGATCGCTGCTTCTCAAAGGAGAGACAGATTTTGTAATTTGTTGGCTGACCTGATCGCCATGCATGCAGCAATTATCATCTAGTCTAGCCAGAATGTTGTTCTCAGAGGACTGCTGAATGTCACTTGATCTCCGTGATTTGTCATCTACGAAAAGGCTTGCTGGGTTCTTAACCTCCTCTGGAATTGGATCTTTAAACTCTGGAGAGCCAACACTAGTATCCCAAGAAGCATCTCTATCATCAGCAGAACAATTGCCTCGGAGCAACAAGCTGGATCTCAAACACGAGTCACGAATATCCAAAGGGACTTCTTCTATTAAATTATCTGACTTTGACTGCTTGATAGTGTCTTCGGATTCTTTATGCCCCTGAGAGTTGATCACATTGCTGAAATCGACAAACGAACTGTCATCACAGTCCTGCACCTCTACATTATCTTCCATAATCGTTTCCCCAATTGTTGCTGGTCTCATCGCATTCCATTGAGATTGACCACACTTGATGTTTTCTTCAGATAGTCCAGGCATTTGGAAGTTGGTGACATTGATGGTATTGACAAAAGAACCGCCATCACAGTCCTGCACCTCTGCATCTTCCATCTTTGTTTCCTCAATCGGATGCTGGTCCCGGGAAAATTCATTTTCTGGTGATACGGCTTCGGATTGAGATTGATCACATGTGTTGTTTACATAGGATGCTTCATGCGTGATCACATTGCTTATATCAGCAGAAGTAAGGCCATCGGATTCCAGAATCTCTGTATCTCCTTCAAGTGTTTCATCAATCATATTTTGGTCGCATGCAAATTCACTGTCTAGATTCATGACTTCTAATTGAGATTCACCATGTTTATCGTTTCTACTTTCACCAGTTGCAAAGACATTAATAGTGCTGCTGTTATTGCACTCCCAGGAATTTTGGTATGCCTCCTGAATTTGATTCTCCAGATCAGCTGCAAGAGAAAGATTATCTGTGAGATGGTTCTCACAGATGGGCTGTGAGCACCATAGCCGGGTTGTCTCCATAACACGTGTAGTAATAAAGAATCTCAAAAAGGAAAAAAAGAAAGAAAGAAAGAAGAGCAGTAGATGATTACCTCGGTGATCATATGTTTTCTTAGACTGCAAAACAGCTGGCCTAGAAGCCTCAGTGCATGCTGTTACACCTTTGCTTCTATCAACATCTCCAGAAGCATCCTCAGCTTGCAAATCTGGGCTAACTAGGTTTGTCAAAAGAGAATTGTCTGGTTGCATCTGACTGGGACTTTCATCACGTGGACAAGCATCAGGTAAACAATTTTCTCCCTTGCTGTCCAGAGACAGATTACTATCTGCAGGATGTGAAGGAACTGGAGCAAGCCCAGCTTTATCCATTTGTCCGTCAGCTTCACAGTTAATGATCTGTGGAAGTTCCAATTCTGTCATGCTGATATTAGTATCACCACATTGACTAGCATCAGGTAAACAAAATTCTCCCTTGCTATCCAGAGACAGATTACTATCTGCAAGACGCGAAGGAACAGGAGCAAGCGCGGCTTTATCCATTTGTCCGTCAGCTTCAAAGTTAATGATCAGTGGAAGTTCCGCTTCTGTCATGCTGATATTAATATCATCACATTGACCAGCTTCTAATGGCTGCATGCCTGCATCTTCCCCGGGATATTTCGTCACATTAGCATTAACTCCATTCGGAACATTTGTGCCTGCATCTAGAATGAGCGGGATGTCATAATCAGAAGGACTTGCTTCAACTTTCAGACTCGCGTCGTCAGTTGAGGAAGAGGTTTTCCCCTCAGCTAAAGCAACATCATTCACCCACAGCCTTTGGCTCTCTGCAGTAGAATTTCCTTCAGCTGTGTCATTACTACATTGATCCACCTGGCCCCTATGAATATTACTAACTGTATCCTCCATTAAAATGCTGTAATCTCCACCTTCATCATTATTTTTTAGCTCTAATAGCTCATTTTCCTTAGACTTCTTGTTACCATCAGGAAAGGTACTTAGCTGATCTTTAGGCATATCGCTGCTTTCCACTGCATCCTCAACATACTGATACCCCAAACTGGCACTACCAGCCCTTCCAGATACACTACCTTCTGCACCTTCAACATGCTGGTTACTGCTCATGCTTGTTTTTGCTGCAAGAGTTCCAATATCCACTTTTGTAACGATGCTGGGATTTTCTTGGAGAAACAAAGAGGAATTGTTTCCTGATCCAATATCCCCAGTGGGAGAAATCTTTTCAATAGCATGAGACTTCACACAAACTTGAGACTGCAGATTAGCAATAACATTCGCGTTGTGTGACAACTGTTGGCAATCTACTGTATCACAACTCTTAGCTTTATGAAGAGCCTGCGTTTGCTTGTTTAGTTCATCATTCCTGTTCGAGTTGAATTTAATTTGCACAGGTGAAGCACCATACACAGAACTTGCATGTACTGCTCTCTCTTTTGGAGGTAGTGGGGGCTTCTGATGAGATGGGGTGCCAGATAGAGGAAGATTTCCCAGTTCAGAGTCCTGTGAACCCGAAGGTTTTGACTGCAAAGTAACTGAAATGAGTCAACAGAAGCGGAGTCGAAAGAAGGCACTTTATGCTGAAACTGAATAATTTTCGGAGCTGGTTCCACTGAACGAACCTGCTCAAAGTATCTCAGAGATGGGGAAGGCTTCCGCAATCCAGATGGTTTTGCTGGTTGGCTCTGCGCCGTTTTAGTGTCATTTACATTGTAATTACCATTTTGAGAGACAGAAACTGCATGCTTCATTGCACATCCATCACTACTGCTTACTGGACAAGCAACAGCAGCATTTTGGAGTACAGGTGAGTCATCAGCTGCTTTGCTAGGCTTAGGGAGTTCTCTATTGGCCGATGAATGCTTTTCTGGAACTGATTTGACCTTCACGTAAAACAAAATAAGAAATCAAATCAATATACACAGGAAGCAAGAGTGAACTTAGCATGTATAATCCTAATACAGTTCAAAATAAACTTCTGAAATGTTCATCATCAAATGATTGTTACATATAACAAGCTGCAGGAATCAGGGGTTTAGGTTAGATCCTCACCACATTTCGTCCGGCTAGCTGAACAGTAGGTCTTGCACTCGATTTTCCTGAATGAGCAGGTTTTATGTCATTTCGAGATATTTTAGAACTTCCACAGCTGCTCTTCGGTTGCATAGTTTTTGGGGCTTGCACTGCTGCATAATAGAAACAGAAAAATATCAGTGTCTTTAAAAACAGAAATGAAGCCTACCCTATGGTAATAGTGACTAGAAATATCGGTGTCTTTAAAATCAGAAATGAAGCCTACCCTATGGAAATAGTGACTAGACATATACAAAAGTATTGGAATATGTCAGGTAAGATAACCTGGTTGTGAGACATGACTATGCTTTGAATTTCTTGCACTCGATGCAGAACTTCTAGATGTCGCACTAGATAGTGGCGGATTTGTCTTTGGAGCTGATAATTTCGAAACTTTTGGGTCTCTATTGGCAACTCTCGACACGTTCGGTTGCAAAGGCCTTTTCAGAGTACAAAGAAGTCAAGGCCAACTTTCACTAGGATAAAAGCTTGAGAAGAAGGAAGTCAAACATATTAATTGTGTTATATAGCAACAAGTGTAAAAGGATATGAAGATGAAGCAACTGGGCGCGGACAGCCACTGTATTTAGAGGCACTTTTGGTAGTACCACAAGTTGAAGGACTCTTATTAGCATCACGGGCTGAGATAGCCTTCGGCTTGACCTGGAACATGTCAAAGATAATTCTATTTAGACACAGAAAATGCAACGGCACAAGAGATCAAAACCTGGTTTTCAGAATTAAAGCAAAGTATCATTTCACGCCACTCACAGGAGAGCTTAGAGGAGAAGCCTGGCTTCTAGTGGAAGGCCTAGCCTTCAGCGATGATCCGCCCTCCATTTTCCTGCTCTTAAGAGAACTCGCAGGCGATTTCTTGATGGATTTATCTCCAACTGAATGTGAGTTTCTGGATTCAGAGATACTTTCCAATCTCTGGGACACCAACTCTACCTCTTCATGAATCATCGACAACCTGTCCCTACTACCAGAACCAACATTGCCACTAAGCATAGACAGCTCCACTGGATCCAAGACACCTAAACATCAAAAGCTAGGTTACCTACTGATGAGTTCGGAAAGTTCAAATTTCCAAAGAAAAAAAACCATTTCGAAAAAAGAAAGGCTCAAACGAATAATAACAAGGGAAAGAGAACCTTCTTCGGTGAAGAAAGCTCGATCCCAAGCTAAGCTTTTTCTCAAATTGTATCCTCCTCCCTTCTTCTTCCTCTTCATTTGCTGGCGCTCGACACCCAGCTTGGGTGCTTCAGAACTATTCATTTCGGCATTTTCCTTGTCGATTCCAACTTGCGCAGTCGAAGGGCTAATGGCATCTGCATCTCCAACCTCCTTAGCACAATCTACAATGTAATGCAAACAATCTTCAGAATCCAAACATGATTTCATTCCCTAAAATATCAACCTTCCTAATAATTGAAACCAAATCAATTAGCGGACAAATTCAACTAGTGCAAAATTCGTAAGAAGGAGCAAGAAAGAAAGAGACGAAATCAGTAGCCCTAACCAAGTGCCGAGCGAATTGGAGGGAGCGGAAGAGGAGGACGGGCACAGGAGCGGTTGGATCTAGGGATTTGGACAAGAGGAGAGCAGGAGAAGGCGGCGATGCTGCTGTTGGAACTGGAGAAAACTTGAGGGCTGCTGGGGACTTGTTCCAGACTGAGCAGGGAGTCGTCTTCTGCTGAAATCTCAATCAGATCATCCGTCTCCATTGATGGCCGCTCCAATGCCGAAAGCTTCTTAGTTCTTGCGCAGAGGAGGAATGGGATCTCTGGTTCGACTGGTGAGTGGGAGATTCCTCTGATGAGGCTGAGACGCTGAGTGAAAGAAAACGTTTGAATTGGAAAGAGATCGACAAAAGCGGGGAAGTGTTTGTAAATCTGAGAAAGTGACAAACGGTCACGTTCGAATTTACAGAATTACAGGTCCCCCTATCCTTCCTCGGTTGTCGCCGTTTAAACAAAAAGAAGGGCCTGAAGTAATAGGCCTAGAACTGGAAGGTTACGATCTTCAATGGGCCAGCCCATTAACGCTACTTGAGATAGTAGAGTACTATGGCAATCAAACCCATGATCGCGGGTACCCGACCGGGTATGGGGCGGGTATGGGTAAAACCCGCAAAAAGTTTGATGGGTATGGGACGGGTATGGTTTTAGCCTCCCCCGCCCTATAGACTATACCCATACTCATACCCGCCTCATCAAGAGAATTTCTTCATATATAAAAAAAAATGTGCATCAAATTGTAATCTATCAATGATTGATGAGGATAACTTGAGAAAATAAATAGTAGAAATGCAATTGAGTGACCATCTTAATCAAAACCTAATTCATTCTCTCAATTCTCCTTTCACTCTTTCACTTTCCCCCTTGTCAACAAGATTATATTAGTTAATTATTACTTAGTAGATGTATCAGAGTTAGAACATAATAATTTGAAAAATATTATACTCTATATTATGTATTAATGTATATTTTAGGATCATATTCTTTGAACCATATTAAAAAAATGACTGTGTTTTGTTGACTTAATGATATAATTTGTTCGTTTAGAGTTCTAATTAAAACTTTTCTTGTAAGTTTTAGGTATAATAATGTTGGATGTACGGGTATGGTATTACCCATGGGTACCCGAAACCCACGGGTATGGGAATGGGTTTGCAAAACATTCCTCCGCATGGGTATGGGGCAGGTATGTGTTTGGGTATTTGAAGATGGGAATGAGGATGGTTTAGGCAAACCCGCCCATTGCCATCCCTAACTAAGAGTAGGTAGCGCTCGCCCAGTCATGATATGATAGGCTTGTGTTTTTTTTCTATATAACATATTTTTTTACAGTTTTTTTTTATAATTTTTTTTAGGCCAAATACACTTGTGTAGCCAAAACTTTGACGGTTTTGCCAAATATAGCCACTTTTGACGAAATACCAAAAATAGCCACTTCCGTCCAATTGTTTAACGGTGTTAGTTAACGTGCTGACTGGACTAACAGCAGCAATTGACATGGCATACTTTATTCGAAAATAATATTAGGTGGAAAATAAGCAAAATTTATATTTTTATTTTAATCAAATTAAATAAAAAAAATCATAAAAAAAAATAAAACCAAAAATATCTTCAGCATCGCCTTATCACCTCCCCTTCATCAATAATTCCCTGAACTCCAGAAACTTCATCTTCTTCTGCAACCCTCAAAATCTTCCCTAACCAAAATAAGAATCAACCCTAAACCCATTAATCCCTACCTAGGTTGCGTCATCATACTACCACCACCATTTTAAACCTACCCAACTTCCGTCGTCGACACCACCGCCATTTTGAAAGCTCTATTAGTGCTTCTCGCTCTCTCAACAACATCGTCGTCAAGCCAACTATGTCGCGGAGTCTTCCCTCCGACTGTACAGCCCCCAACCCAATTAACTCCGGGTTTGATTCGCGGAGATGCTGTTCTTTGAGAGGCTTTCCACGACGGTTGGTGGTGGCGACCCTCTCGCCGGCAAAACTGAAGACGTCGACCCCAACGGCGGTGCCGACAGTAGAGAGCCTCGCTCTGGCGCTCGATTCTCCTCCAATGTCTTACAGAGCTCGATTTTCTTTCGATTCTCCGTTGCTGCCGGTTCTGGGTCACTGCCGGTTCAGGATCTCGCTGTCGCCGTCAAAATCTCTTTGCCAACGGCGCCTACTCTAGCCTTGAGACCGGATCTGGACGGCGGGCCACTAGTTGGATCTGTATTCATACCAAATCTCGCCGCCGGGTCGCTAATTAGATCTGTATCCAGACCAAATCTCGCTGCATCCTCCTCCTTTGAAGCTAAAAACAGAAATCGAGCTAGGGAAAAGGAATGGATTGTCCTTCTGAAATAGCACAGTCGATGCGGCGCGGCCAGATCTAGTCTTCAATGTCCGAAGCGTTTGAAGAGGAAGACGAGAGTTCTGGGTTCTGTTCTCCATTTCCAGATCCGTAATTGCGATTGTTTCTAGTTTTTTAGTTGGATTTTTTGGCGGAGGGATTTTTCGCTGGCGGTTGGTGATGGACGAGGGGGAGAGGAAGACAATATAGTTAATCAATCTTTGCGGCAGTGGCGGATGAGGAAGCTGAAGCATCTCGATGACCAGCACATATGCTTGTTTTATTTGTTTTTTTTACTTTGATTTCATTATTCACAGATTGAGATCGGAGGTAGAAAATCGGACCAGGCAGATGGGGAGATACTGGATTTGATTCTCGAAAATTTGGGGGCAGGGAGTGGATTGGAGAAGATGAAGAAGGGGAGTAGGAGAGATGAAGAAGATGAAGCATTTCCTTTTTTCTGATTATTTATATAATTATTAATAATAAAAAGATAAAACATGTCCATATAGAATATTTTGATGAATTTTTTATTTTTTATTTATTTTTGTAATGACGTGTCGTCCATCTGTCAGTGAATGCTGAGGTGGAAACGAAAGAGAGGGTGAGTTGGCATCCAAGTAAGCATTCCGTTAAATTGACTAACGGTGTCATTGACGCCGTTAAATTATGTAACGGAAATGGCTATTATTGTCATCAAACTTTCAAAATTCTGGCTATTATTGGTATTTCCCCAAAAGTGGCTATATTTGGCAAAATCGTCAAAGTTTTGGCTACACAAGTGAATTTGGCCTTTTTTTTACAGTTTTTCTATCATAACTTGGTGGGAGCTTTTATTAACTAGTGGTAGCGGTTACATTGTCGTGCTCTAGCTGATGAATGATAAATACAGGAGTTTTTCTAACCAAACTACTCGTTCATTCCATCTCGTCTTCGAATGGGCCATTAGGTGTGATGCATGGCTGCTCGCCCTGGGTCAATGTTGCCAGTAACCATTTCCCATGCCCTTCAGATATCGGCGGATGCTTCTGTTAGTTCTCTATATAACAACCAATCTTGGATTGCGCTGATCTCATGTCATCCAATTTCGCATAAGCGTTGGACAATTAGACTCTAACACTGGGTTTGTAATTCCCAATTGGTGGCCAATCTGAAGCCCAAACTCTGCTGATAGGGTGCGGATAGTATAACAACAGTCTAATTGTTGTTATTATAACAACAAGGGTAAATAGGGAAATTACAAAAAATAACTAAATTAAAAATCTGAACCCCTCTTCCTCTCCGCTCCTTTTCCACTTTCCGTTTCTATTAGGACTCTTCCATTGCCGACGCATATCCGAACCATCAGCAACCACCGCTCAATCTCCTCTGCCACCACTCAACCTCCTCCATCCAAGCGGTTTCTCCCTCCTTCTGGTTTCGACGCCGACGCCAATGTCGATCCCACGATTTCAAAGGCATAAGCATCATCGGATCTTCCTTTCTTCGATTCGTTTCCGTCTTCCCTCAGATTCGCGGCTGTGGCTGTGGAATCGACAATGATTGGGCCAACGACGAGAATATATCAATCTCGACTGGAACAGAATGTTCATAGACTAGGCCGCTGTGGAAGTGGAATTCGGCAGGGAGATTTCAGCTGCTGCTGGAAATCGAAGCCGACGGCGGGTGATGTCGTAGACGACGAGGGCACGACGGCGCCGCGGTAGTAGGCGGAGGTGACGGCCCCGAAGTGCTCCTGGCCGGCGGTGTCCCAGATCTGGGCTTTGATTTCCTTGCCGTCGATGTCGACGAGCTGGGTCTGGAACTCGACGCCGATGGTGGCCTTGGAGTTGGCATCGAACTCGTTACGGGCGAAGCGGGAGAGCAAGTTGGATTTTCCCACAGCCGATTCGTGATTCTCCAGAGGCGATAGCTCGCATAGCGAATGATGTTAGATGAACTTTTCCCAATGGAGGTTTCAGGCTTCAACATTTATCATGCCTACTGTTCCTTTCCCCCTTTCATTTGTGTCTCACCTCAGCCTTTTTGCGAATTAGGAAAAGGGTTACAGTAGCTAGCGGAGATTGGTTGTAATGCAAAGATTATAATAAGCAATGCAGTTAAAAGCGCGATTCTACCTAGAAGCGGGAAATGGGTAAAATCGTAAAACGTAGAATCAAAGCGTAAAAGCGTAAGTTTTTGACGCACCCTCTAAAATAGCTAAATTATGTTAAGTACAACATATAGTATGTAAAATGTGAGAGTGTATAGATTTTAGATAAGTGATTAACTACATGAAATTCATAATTAAAATGTAATATCTAACACATAAACTAATTTGTATTGACTCAAAAGTAGAGAAAACTCATACATTTTAATAATAAGCTCATAAACGTAGATCGTAACATGTAAACGAGCTTGAGAATCTAAATTCTCATAAGCTGGTTTGAGTTTACGTAATTACATACGATCAATTACCCATAAACTTTTATCGCAACCCATGTAAGAGCCACAGGTGAAGATTAAGGGAGAAGACTGATAGAAGGTCAGCGGCTGTTGAGAATACCATTAGGTGTCTTTTCAACCTAATGTGAAGCCCCTATCTCGATACTAGTTCTAGAATGAGTGATGAATCATGTTTCCTTTTTCTATTTTTTGCTTATATGTCTCCAAAATTACATAATTTTGGACCAATTAACACATATTTATGAGATGATCAAAATCGTATAAAAACGCTTTAGAATCGCGATTTTACCGATTTTAAGCGATTTTACCCATCTTTTTACTAGTTTTTGTGACTAAGCGACTTTACGTAGAAACTAAAACGTTTTAGTGGCCTGGATACGTAAAAACGTAAGTTTTTACGTTTTAATGCGCGATTTTGACTGCACTGATAATAAGCAAACCAAATGCTAATGTTTCCATCTTTCCAAGATACTAAGTCGTGGGGATGGGGAAGAAAAAGCAGATGATGGTGATGAAGAGAGATTAGCAAATAGCTCCAGACTGCAGAGGTGGTGAGGAAGAAGCTTCTGGTTAAAAGTCAGGGAATATAAATAAAAGAAGCTTAATTAGTTTAGTTAAGCCAAAACTTAATGTTGGTGTAAGATGAAATATAGTTGGGATGTTGAGTGCTTAAAATTTATTATGGTATGCAGAATATGAGCATTTCAATACCAGAAATCTCATAATGCAACCATAAATAAGGTAAAACAAACCACAAAAAGTATACCATGAACCTATTAATGCAAAGCACAAGTCTCCTAAAACATACCAGAAATCCCACAAAGCATACCATAAATATTTCTAATGGACACCAGAAACCTCATAATGCAAATCACAAACACGATAAAGCAAACCACAAAAACAAACCAGAAACGTCCTAATGCAGACAAAAAAATCTATTAAAACAAACCAGATACCTCACAAAGCAAACCACAGAATTTTAAAAAACACACCAGAAACCTCATAATGCAAACCACAAACACGATAAAGCAAACCACAAAAACAAACCAGAAACGTCCTAATGCAGACCAAAAATCTACTAAAACAAACCAGAAACCCCGCAAAGCAAACCACGGAATTTTAAAAAATACACCAGAAACCTCATAATGCAAACCACAAACACGATAAAGCAAACCACAAAAACAAACCAGAAACGTTCTAATGCAGACCAAAAATCTATTAAAAGAAACCAAAAACCACGCAAAGCAAACCACAAAATTTTTGAAAGCAAACCAGAAACTTCTCAATGCAAACCACAAACACGATAAAGCAAACCAGAAACTTCTTAATGCAAACCACAAACACGATAAAGCAAACCACAAAAGGCATACAAAAATATGAGAAACCAAACCATAAATCTCACAATGCAGACCATACATCCAGTGGTCGTTGACCGTTGACCGGTCAACAAAGTTCGTTGACCGAACTCCGATGACCGTCAGTGAGCAGATTCCGACGCCGATAGGCACATTCCGGCCCCGATGACTAGATTCCGACGCCGGTAAGCATATTCCGGCGACAAATAGCATTTCCCGGCGACAAAAAGCATATTCCGGTTATCGGCGACCAGTTTCCGGCGACCGGTGGCCGAATTCCGGCGACCAAAATTTTGGGCCGAAAATAAAAAATAAATTTTTTATTTTTTTATTATTTAAACAGATTTTTCATAATGACAATTATACCCCTGCTTTGATTTTATACTAGGTCAACTCATCTAATAAAAAGTCATCACAACCCTAACTTCCTATTGGTTGGAGACTAGTGTTGTTACAATAACAACACAAGGGGCGTTGTTATAGTATCTAGTCCCCTGCTGATAGACTTGAGCTTTTATTTCTCCAATTAGATCAGTGATAGGACAATTCAAGCAATCGATCGTAAATAAGAAATTAAGTCAAACAAATAAGACCTAATAAACACCACACAAAAAGGACCTAATAAAAGGGCTATCCTAAATACTAAATCATTTTTACTAGTTATTGAGATATTGTGCATTATAATTCAAGTCAAGATTAAAAGACCAACTATAAGTAAGAAATAAAGTCAAATTCCACCAAACAAATGAGACCTAATGAAAGGGCTTTCCTAAATACTAAAATGAAAAATTATTTAACGAGAACATGCAAGTCAAATTACACAACTATGCCAAAACTAAGCAAATTATAAGGAACACAACAATTAATCTTGTCACGACTCACAACACTCTCTCTCAAACAAAGGCGTGAATGTCATGAATGTTAAGGTTCAAAGTCAAAAACCAAATTGCTCCACCGAGGCTTTGATGTACAAATCGACTAATTGATCACTTATGTCAATTTTATGAGAAGCGAGACATTCTTGCACAAAATATGACACTACGTCTTTGGTGTGTTCGTGGAAGACATGATTAACAATAATTTGAAAAACTATCTGGTTTGTCACAATGTTCGTGGAGATATCGAGCTCATGCAGTAACCACCTCTGACAAACAAGCACACTAAATTTGATTGCCATAGCCCTATAGTCAGCTTCGACTAAAGAATGAGCAACCACCTAATGCTTCTTAGTACGTCAAGTGATTAGACTCTCGCCAAATATGATAAAATAACAATTAATAAGCGAACGAGTTGTCTGCTAACCGTCACCCCAACTAGCAACCCAATAAATAGTAAGATGCAAAACATCGTCAAAAGAAAGAGGGGAAAAACTTGCCTAGGGCATCCTTCAAGTAGCAAAGAATATGATAGGTCGACTCAACATGAACATGACACATGAATGAACAACTTAACTCAGGATGACGACATAGGCTATGTCTGTCGTGGTGACTGTGAGATAAAGAAGATGATCAATGAGATGCCAGAAAGAGGCGGGATCAGCCACAAGCCCACAACATGCCCTTTCTTTTGCATCACAACGTCGACCAGAGCCACTGTTGAGGAAGGTGCCGCCTGCTGCGGTCGATCAGGAGGACACGTTTGGCCACGGTGGTTTGTAGGTATTTGCTTGTTAGGGTTTGGGAATTGGAGGTAAGCCAATCGTTGGGGGGAGGAGGACCAAGTATTATTAGCACTGAGGAAAGACTAACAAGGAATAAAAGCATCTAAATTTGCAGTGCCAATATATCAAACAATGGTACTGAACTCATCCCAACTAGGTAGAAGTAAATATATGCATATTTGATTATATACAATGACACTTTGACTGCTATGCCTGCCAACAGTACATACCTCGAGCAAATGCAAAGCCCTCTTATTAACTAATGTTGCAATCCCTGGGATCTTCAGAAGAAGACCCTTCTTCTCCCTCTGAAAATGCCATAACATATGCATCTCTCCCTTCATTATCGTCATCATCACTGTCCTGGAAATCAGCACGGTCGAATCTGCTCTCAATATACGCCACTGCTTGATTCCTCTGCAGCCTCAAGATACGCATTATCACATCTGGAGATAGGTATACCCTGGAATGGTCTTCCCTCCCCTGCTTGTTCGACTCCATGATCTGTACCAAAGTACATGACAGGGCAAGTGCATAGACAAGATCGTCAATCAAGATTAGATTACGCACTTGGGATTAATGTACATGTTCACTTTTCAAGCGTGTAAAGGAAGGTTCGTTACCTTTTCTATATTGTCTGGTAGAGGAGGAGATTCTGAAGGAGAGGGGCACCAGAGCTTCACAGTCTTCTCTATCCCACAGCTTGCAAACATAGCCACATGAGGATGTGGCTCGATCTGGTTAACCACGCGCCGATCACCAAACATAACTCGCACAAGCCTCGCATCCTTCTTCTCCCAAATGAATATATGACCACAATCAGACCCTGTTGCCACATACTCGTCACTTGGCCCAAAGAAACTCACTCCTTTCACTGTCTGTGAATTCCTATGCCCTGTGTACACTTGTGGCTCTCCAAGCTTCTGCGTCTGTATGGGTGAAACCGAACATGGATCGGGGCCCATCCCCATATCCTTCTGAAACAGATAGATGAGTTCATCATTGTAAGAGACGAGAAGCTCACTGGAGCTTGAGTAGGCCAATGCAGTTATATGCACTTCATTGGACTTTATCAAGTGACGGGGGCAGAATGTGTCCAAAGGTGTGCTATCATCATTGCTCGACCACTGACATTTTCTTATGTCATATACACGAGCATATTCATCAGAACCTCCTACGCCAAAGTAATTTGGGTTTCTTGGATCGATAACAATCGAGTTTAACCTGATCTTTTTGGAATGCTGGATGTCATTGTCTGCGAGGGAAGAGCAACAGAATAGTCTTGTGCAAGAATGAGTGCGGAGATCGAACTGCAAAAATTGAGAGAAAACCAAAAACCCACAATAAAGATGGAAAGAAGACTGCTAAAGAGATCATGAAGCATTTGGAACAACAAGTTGTATGATGTAAATTTGACTGACATGTTGCACAATGCCATCTTCACCACAGCTATAGAGTACATGTGGACTTCCTGGCTCGACTGCAAGGTTATGCACACGACCCTGGTGCTTCCCCAGCTTCTTTGTAAATACCTTGCCATGTTCTTTTACCTGGCCGAGCCGAACCTGTGACAGCCAAAATAATAGATTATAGAACCATGATCAAGTTTCAACATTCACCAGGTGTATTTGTCTTGCGTATTTGTTGTTGAGCATAGCTATCTCAATTGTACGCTATTCAATGTGCAGCTCACTATTGATATGGATTTGCAAAAAGATATTGTCTTGTTCAGTGCATTTGTACCAGAAAAGTGCTAAAAAGACAAATGGAACCCATGTTTCCAGAGGGCATTTTTAAATACTTCTTACGCACTCAAGTGTTTGAGATGGTATCATTGATAGATTTGTATGGAATTTCAAATGTACTTGAATACATTGAAATTCTCTACCAAAAACGATCAATCGCATGATTTTGCAAATTCCACCTACGCAAATAATCCAATCAAATTACACCTCCTTCAGTAGTTTCGCAAAGCTTAAATGGATATTCAGCTGTTAAGTAGTGCAGCTCAATCCACCATCCATGCAAATGTATTGCTCAACTATAATTCAAGGCAAATGACCAGATGCAGTTGTGTACTTGTCTTTCAGAACTACATTTGAAAAGGGAATCACATTCATCTAAAGACACTATCTTAGAAGGCCACAAATGAAGCTAATCAGCTGAGAACGCACCTGGCCGTCAGCAGATGAAGTTACTATGATTCGATCATCAGTAAGAGGCATGATTTTAGTCTGGAATATATTGTCCAAATGACCAGAATCATATGACAACTTCTTCTTTTGGGTTGTCCAATCCCAGAAGACGACTTGCCTATCATCAGAACCAGACACCAGAATATCGCCAGTAGAGTTGAACTGGATAGCATTAACGCAGCCATCGTGACCAGCTAACTTCCCCTGAAGATTGATCTGCTTCACAAGGACCTGAGCAAGTAATAAAATGCAAAGTCTTGCTTCAAAAACATGGAACAAAGAGCACAACATAGAAGCAACGATCACATCCATCAAATAATCCGGGTACCCCTCCATTGAATCACCAAAATAGACCGGCTTCAAGACTGATTTTTTAACTAATAGGAACACAGCCAGCGGCCGGTAACTGATGATTTTTCAAAGAGCAAGAACAGCTCCCCTGCTATTCACAAGTGACAAATTCATCCAAGAGGAAAGAAGCAATCTCTCCGATCCAAACCCAAATGAGGAAAAAAGAAAACTGAAGTGTGGAAAACGCCAAAATCTGGACAGCAGAATCTTACTTGAGCACCGACGGGAATCAACCCAATTATGATCCACGATTCATCAATCACAGTGTACGATAATGGAAATTGAAAACACAATTAGGAGGTCGAGAGGTGGGGGAAGGAACAAAAAGAGTCAGAAACCTCAGAACCGGAGAAGTAGCGACGGAAGAACGTGGGGGAAGAGAAGCCCACTTCTCGCCTGCGGATCTCGTCGAATCCCACTCTAATTCTCTTACGAGGAGTGTCCACCTCCATTTCCATGACTGAACAGTTACAGGTGGTAGCTCAGCTCATTCAGGAAGTGTCTGCGAATTGAAGGAAGTAAGAAGAAATTGAGAAAATGCTCTGTGCTTTCCTCTGGTGGAATTGTTGCGAGAAGCAGGAAAAAAGAAAAAGAAACGGATGGCTTGGAATCCGAGAGCAGCTGACGAGGAGGAAAGGGACGTCAGAACTTAGACGTGGATGGAATTGGAAGCACTGTGTGCAATGTGTATTGGTCAGCGTCGTTGGAAGGTGAGAGACGGAGTGAGAACAATAGAATAGGCGAGTGGAGAAACTCCGGTACTCGGTCACACATGTGGCTCCCGCCATCTCCTCGACTCTTCCCCCAAAAAGCCTTCTCTTCGCAAAAGTGCACTTTCTAGGGTGTGTTTGTTTTGTAACTTTCGAAGAGGAGACTGTTAGAAAAATTGAATCAATCTTAAGTCTTCACCCATAAAGATTGCAAGCCCTCCCATAGTTGCTCCAAGTTTTACCGGCAAATACAAGGCTGTCGCCATTGTTGCAGTTTGAATCCTCCTGTTATCTGTGGTGACCATCTCAACCACCACTAATTCGAATTTGGTCCTTCACTCTCGTATAGCACTTTCTTTGTGGTCCTTGAGGAATGAGGACATTTTTGGAGTTCACCAATCACCATGCCTATCTCATCTTCTCATTTCTTAATTTACTTAATAAAAAGCACCGTAAGCACATTTTGATGCTCTCACTTTTCGAATTCTGTTTCATGCAGTTTTGGTTTTTTTGCCCGCCCTGAAAATCTCTCTTCGAAGTTCTAAGCGTTCGCTTATGTCGCGGTACAGCACGAAAGGACACAAGCAGCAGTAAGTACTCTAAAGCGAACAGAAACGAAGACAGTAAGCCTAAGAGGAAACTGATTCTATTTGCCATCAACTCCATATTATAAAGGTTTACAGAAATCAAATAGGGCCAGAAAGAAGAGATGCTATCATAGGATGTATACAGATGAGCATTACACCCTTACCTTTGGCAGATGATATAAAACGACCTGGAACAGATACCCACCAAAAATTCCCACTCCACCTTCATCATCTTCTCAGAAGTTTGTAGAGCTATGTTGTTTATCCAATGCTTACTATAGAAAATGTATTCTCCTGCCCTCTTTACATATATATTCATTATTCCCACATTCCCTCCCTTTATTTTTCTCTCTTTTTCCTCTCCTTTCTTCTCCCCCTCTTTTTCTCCACACACAAAATGAAGAGAAGACCAGAAAGAAAAAATGTAAACACACAAGGAGAGCTATGGACTTAACAGCTAGAGTGTAAGAAGAAAACTCCTCCTATATACCAAGCTAACTCAAAAGAAAACGAGTCGGCATTTTACATTTTTTTTCTAAGTTAAACCTGCAGCAACATCATAGTTGTCAGACCTGAGATGAAAACTGTTACGATACTCCTCCGCTCGTGCCATGTGTGAGGGTTCCATTTGGAACCCTTGTTTCTAAACCCTGGGCAAAATTTTCAGCCTCCCTTAAGTTGAATCTTATCTTGTGTTGTCATCGGCAAAAGAAATAGAAGGGTGTACCCGAGTTATACGAGCTAATCTTCTTCCTCGGTTAAGGAGGCAAAGGAAAACGGTTTGAACTTGTAACCATCGCCGAAATAGAACTTGTTCTGATATTCTACCCAGTGGAGACGCAGCGCGTGCAGGAAAGCGCTGAGTGTCTCCATCATGAGCAGTATAAAACTGGTGGCAAATGCAAAAACCACAAGCCCAACCAATCGGATCACGATATTGTCATACCTGGAAACAACAAACAATGCAATGCCAACTTAGAGAACAGTCTGATAATTTTGAGCAGGAAAAATAGTCTGGTGTAACTATACTCACCCCCACGCCAAGAGCAAGACTTTTTCATAGAAAACTGTTGATAATTCAGAGTGGGCCAAGCTGCCATATCAAACATAACTGAGTCAGCAAACAATGATCTTAGTTTTTTCTTTAAAAGAAAACACGGGATTCCGAGAAAAGAAAAATCACTGATGCATGACCTCAGAGCCCAAAGACGAAGGTATGAAGCTGTATTGGAGACAGAACCAAGCACAAACTCTATCGAGTGTATCATTTGGTGCACAAACACCTCACTGAAATTGAAATCTTCATGATGTGCACCCCTTGCTGAACCGGGTTCTGAGTCGAGATCAACTTCAGAGGTACCAAGCATACCATAGGTACGGCCTTGAAATCTCTATTTTGTATCACCAAGCAAAAAAAGACCACAGTTAGTATTCATGCAGAAAAAGAATCTGGGAAATCAATGGCAGTGTTTGTTTGAACTTAAAAGCTAAAACAAACATCTTTCTTTCATCTACCTTTCTAAAACAACGATTCACCTTGAATGCACAAATTATTAGCCCCGTCGGCCAAAAAAAAGTCATTTCCAACTTTTCACCTTTGAAATACGAATATCTTGTTTGAACTTAAACTCATTAGGCATTTTCCAAAATCCACTCTGATTATCAAACAAAACATTTACTCAATCTTTTCTAAACCCTTATCAAATCCACTGTTCCTACTTCCTATCCAAAAAGAAACCCTTTGTTCCTACAACATAACAAAAATATCACTTCTTTTCTAACAAAAGGTCAAAGAAACACCCCCACTCCCCCAGTGTCTTACCTCTGTGTGAAGTTTCTTCAAAATAAATGGTTTAGGAAACAGCATCCATGGAACTGCAACTAAAGCCAAAAGCAACAGCACAATCTGCAAAAGTCGAGAATCAATTGAACACAATGAACATTGAGAAAGACAAGAACGATCCACCAGAAAAAAGAAATCACGAAGTCGTGGTGATTACCTGAAGAGGCCTTTGGCCCCAGAACAACTCATTCTCACCAAGATCATCAGTGGGACTCAGAAACATGTATATCATGACATGATAAAGATCTGCCTGGGAACCAGTGCACCACTTGGTGATGATGAGAAGTGAAAGATACCCAAATAGGGAATTCAGGAAGATTATCTGCGGCACAAATTGATACCTAACCACAAACATTCCATAGTAAGTCTCATTCCGACAGCTACTTTCATTTTCTGATATAATGCAGTAATTCCAAAAGATGATATCTGAAGAGGACACACCTTATATCTAGTGAGCTCCCAAAAAAGCGTGCATTGAAATAACTCATTAAGATTCCAAGGTTCATTTGTGTGATACCCAATAAAATAGACATCTTCATCTTCAGAGAGTTCAAAAAGGGCAATTCTGAACGGCTTCCACGCCAACTAGGATCTACACCAAATGGGTAAGGATCTCGGAATTTAACCAACCCCACAGTATGGGCATCCCTGAGAAAAAATAAGCCGAGACATCAATGACAGCTACGTAAAAAATATTCTTCAAATAATATATAGAACTAAGTGTACCTAAAAACTCAGATGCAGGATACAATATAGTGTATGCACCTCAAGAGGGAGGCGAATCATGTGAGCATGTACTTTCAGAACAGTTAAAATATTATATAACTGCTACCCCATGATGATGAACAACAAAAATTAATATAGAAAGGATATGAAAGTGCATACAAAATGCTTGAGTAAGCAACATAGATTTCGCAAAAAATTGAAATTATTTGGAAGAAATACCAACAAACCGAAGAATTATACCTGCAGGAATCATCTCTGCATCTGTAAGCAGACCCACCAAATATGTGGAAAGGGACGGAGAAGAACTCATTGTAAATCAGCCCACAGTATATTGAGAAAAGAGACATTAAAAGGAGTACGTAGCGGCCACCAAAAAGCATCTCCATAAAGCTTCCAAGTTTCTACAAGAAGTCAGAGATAGGCATCTTAGTTAATGCTATTAATTCAAGAGGCAAACTTTTTCCGGAGGTCAAAGATTAAGCATAGAGTAGCGGACAGAGTATATGTCAATACAGGATATATTAACTACAAGTATTAACAAAAACAAATCTGGCAATGGAATAATAAAGTCAAGAAGTTTATATATTTCCGCAACCAAATATTGAACTAATCCAGTATAACCAAAAGATAATCCACTTTTATCCTATATCTTAACATTATATAAATTCTCTCACCTGCTTTTCTGCTAGTATACTTAACATGTATGCATAAACATGGTTCCAAATTAGAAAAAAAATATTATGTCGCTCAAGAAAACCAACTCATGCTTAATTAACCACTGGTCAAGAAAGTTGGTGTCCCTTCTCTTACAACCATGATCAAGTACTTTGCAATACAGGTCATAGAACTCAGAATCAACAACCAACATGACTGAAAGCAACTTACAAGCCTCCATAAAAGACATTTGTAAAACATTTAGCATAATTGGTCTTGAACTTCCAGTATCTATTGTCAAAAAAAAAAAAAAAACTTCCAGTATCTGAGGGCAGTGTGAAATACCTGACTACCCAACTTCTTCTCACGAGCAATAAGGAACAGTGCTCCCAAAAGCAAGCATATTCCGTGGCCCCAATCTCCAAACATCACCGCAAAGAGAAAAGGAAATGTAACTATAGTGTACACTGCTGGATTTGCTTCCTGATACCTAGCAACCCTGTCAACATAAAAGTTCCAATTGAACAGCCAAGCCAACAAATTTACAATAAAATACTACCTAAAAGTAACAACTGAAGTTGCCATTTAAGTTTATTCACAAAGTAGAGCACAAAGTGATGCCAGGTTGCGACGGTCAAGATCTCAAGTAGACAGCACATTTTGGCCCCAAAAAACTGCTAGTTTAAACTAGTGACTCTCGCAAAAACATGATCATTTCTACTTAAGACGCCTGTAAAAACAAATGCATACAAGGTGCTTTCATCATTTCCAACTTACGGTTCAATCCAAGCATTATAAACCAATCAGAATCAATAAAAAAAAGTTCCAAGAAAGAAACAAAATCGCAATATACATGAGTATCCATAACAGAATTGATTGCAGCATAAAGACTTACCCATATGCATCAACAATTTCCTGGTAGGCATTAGTGAAGCAATTGGTTCTGAAATAAGTAGGAGGTGACTCTGTAGCTTCCATTACATGAAATATTATGCCGACTTGAGAACTGCTATCATAAGTTGCACGTTGCAGCACCTCTTGAATCTGATCAACAAAACAGTGTATTTCTCAAGCTTTTCGAAGACATATTCAAACATTACAAGAGCATAGAAAGTATAACCGACATAGTAACGAAATAGATATATTAAATACTGTATAATACCTGAGGTTTTGCAAATATAGGACACCAACCCTCACCAACAAGACACTTTTTCGTCACATCAAAGTTAAGCATATTCAGGGTATCATACACAGCCTTCTCCATCCTCACCTAGGAAAAGGTAAATCACGCCAGATGATGCCACAATCAGTATGTATCACAAGTATCTAAGAAACCAACAGAAATTGTTTACGGGTATCAATCCTACCATGTTAATCCACTTTGTTAGATGCAATCCAATGGAAATAAGGGCTTGATTTCTGTGGCGAATTCCAGCATCCAAAGTGGCTTCTAACTCAGAAAGACGTGATAAGACCTAGAACAAATGTGATCATTTTCAGTTAACAAGAAGTAAAAAAATGAATCAAGAGCCCTTGAGTACATTAAATCCCACAAATAGTTGAAAATTTTTCATGGAACTAGGAGGAGCAATGACAGATAACTTACTTCTCTAGTTAATTGCCTTTGCTTAGTTATATCCTCAGGAACAGGGTAGCAATTTGCCCCAAATGCTTCGCAAATTTTTATGATCTTCATTCTTGCCTGTTCACCTGAGAAAAATACTACGAATACTGTTTTCTCAACCTACAATGACAAGCTAGCAAATATCAGTATCAGTGTAAAGATGCTTCAATAACTTAATTTACTATAGTTTAGAGTGCCACACATACGAGGAAGAGAACATAACAGCAAGAAGTTAAAATATGAAAATCCTGACAATGATCAATTATAGTTCCAAGGCAACACTACTAAATTTATGAAGCTATAAGGAAGGAAGAAAACCATTTCATTGGAAGTAGGATCCAAGATTTCCTCATCTGCCAGAGTTTGATTGAAGAGCATATTTCCCCTAGTAGCACGGAATAACATCCTCTCAAATCTTAAGACTTTGGATCTAGGTATAATTCCACTGATAAATCTCACAGTTGATTGACTTGATGACCCAGACCGCATTTCCTGAAAAGTGGATAACATGATAATTGAGCTATATTCAATCTATTCCAAAGGCAACACAATGATAAAAAAAAAATCTAATTGAAAACCTGTTCAAGCAACGAGGATGCTTCACCAAAATCACCATTGGAGTACACATTCTCGTCTAACTCGGTCTCGTCAGCAACTGCATGACTATTGTGTGATACAAGAAAGCCAACTGCCTGAAATTGACCCACAAGAAATCATGTGAAACAATCAAGTAATGGTATCTTCCATAAAAGTGCATTATAGTACTTTTTTTTCCGTTGAATCATTATAGTACTTTTCTGTCCAAGAAAAATGACAAGTGTTTAAACAGCAACATGCATATTCTTGTTTTTCTATGGAGCAGTAACGGGCAGGATGATACAAATATAATGCAGTAATGTCCAACAGCACACATGCCATGAACTTCTACAACACAAGGTAGAAGTGAGAACCCAAGGCCTCTATTCATTAGTTCAAGATGTGCACCGTACTCTGTCAAAACAGGACTATCATGAGCCTAGAACTCAGGGCCGGAAAAAAGAGAAGCTAGAGAGTGAAATATAGCATATGAAAGATGGTAGCAGTAAATGATGCCACGTAATTTACCTTCTGCAAAACTATCTTGAATTCTAAGAGTTCATTGAACGACTGCTGAAGTTTCTCACTGTTTGAGTTCATCTCAATTAGCTCATGTTCATGTTCAGCAAGTTGTACCTGATATTGGTAGAAGTATACAGAAGTACAGGATTATTCAGTTAAGGATCCTAGTTGAGGTGGAAATGAAGGCTTTATGAACATGACTGCAAACATGAGGGGATATTAAACCCATTGTTTCCGCCCAAGAAAGGATTCAGTAAGTGCACCTCTAATTCCTCCAGCTCAATATCAGGTTCCAGTGTAGAATGAGCAGAAGACAATAGACCAGCTTTTTGTATTTGATCTTTGAAAAACCTCAGCTTCCTCGACATTTCTCCGCATCTTTTGACCTATGAAATAGACTCCGGATATCAAACTAACCATTATTGCAAGAAATAAATGCCACATTTTCACTTGACAGTCAATGCAGAAGGGGTTGAAATACACGCATAAAACAAAGGGCTCCCAGCCATACCACCTGCGTACATTACGTACAAATAGGGAGGGAGGGAGGGGGAGGGGGAGGGGGGGGGAACTAGTTGGAAAGTACAATTAGCAATCCTAAATATGTACATTTTCAAAGGCAAGTACAAGACATCAAAGATCCAGGAAAGAATTCAAAATTTGATGCTCAGCATCGCTAGCAAAAACAAATCAGATAGCATAACCAGAAAAATACTCATCCACTAATACCCAACATTGACATTGCTAGATTTTTCTTCAGTTTTCAGATTGATTAAACAGTCGTTGTCGCAAGAAACTCAGGAGCAGCTTAAAACAAATGTTGTCATAGCAATGCAAGTTATTTGTGGCTCTATGAATGATACCTGATTGACAAATGTTCGCTGGAAAGGGCTTTTATCAGCATTCATCTGCAAAGGAAACGACAATGAGATCAGTACAACATATTCGTATTAAGATACTGACACAAAATCTTCAGCACATACGTCTTTGCTGCTGCTCTCGAATTAAACTTAACACCAAGTTGCAGATTGCAGGACAACCAATGTACGCTGCCAAGTTTATCCGATGCACGAAATATGTGGAGGCTTAGAACACTAGATTTTGCTAACTGGTACAAGCACCAACACCAATGCTCTAGAAACTAAGAGCATTTAGCTTGCTAAATGCCTGTCATTTTCTGATGTGAAACTTCAAAACTCACTCCATTCAACTGAACACTCAAATAGTCAACATCGGGGAACCGCAGAAACAGAGCAACGCTGCACATACCACTTCGTACATCAGTACCACAAGGCGAGTTTCAACATTCTCCACAACCAGACCTCTCATTTCACCAATTTCCAGTTAAGCAAATTCAGTTCCTCGGTATCTCCTCTGTATGCTATCAATTGCCTCCAATGCACACTCAAGAAAGAGATCGTTCAACCACTACCGAGCAATACTTCCTTACTATCCCCTATCCATAGATGCTCACACTTAATACTACCAACTCCATATTACCGGAGGAAAACCTCAATCGCTGAAAATCCTAAATTCTTCCCAGGTTAAATACAGTGGGGGGACAACGAACGGAAATACCGCAGCCTAACCTTTCCTGGATCGCGTAGAAATTTAAACACGCTAAGCCTACGCGATAGAGCAAACACAGAGGGCGGATCTCATAAGAAAGCAGAAGGGAGAAAACGCGGTAAAAACTCACGTCGCGGAATTGAAGAAGGCCGAGTTCGCCGAGGTAGGAGATGGCGCGGTGGGCGGACTCGGCGGGGATAATGAGTTGAACGAAGGTCATCTTCTCGGAGCGCATCAGATCCATGGACGGCAGATTCTCTATGAACTGGTCCATCTTCTGAAGAGCCATGGTTGCCGACTGCGAATTTGTGCGAGAGAGAACTCTCCGTCCTCTCTTCTCTCGCTGCCTTCACTCCGTCTCCGAGGATACCATACAGGTGGAGCGGGAATGGAATGTGATGGTTGGACGGATCTGTATTTATCAAACCGAAAAGTGAATCGGAAGCAAGAAAGGTCTCAGATCTGAGGGGGAATACTATGAAACAGTTTATTTTTTACTCTGCCTCCTGTGTGTTTGCGTACAATGTTGAAGGAGAAGTAGGAAAAGGGGAAATGGAGGAGAGGGTGCGTTTTTCAGGTGATGTGCTTGCGTTTTATGTTTCCGGTGATGGCCTGCCTGATCGCACTTGGCTTGCAGCCTAAACTGCCAGGTAACGCGGAATTCGCTTCCGATTTTGTTTTCCCTCTTTTTAGTTTCTACATTTTTTTTTCTTTTTGTTATCTGCGACGAGTCAAAACTCAATTTGAAACAAATTTATTCATCCAAACAAAATTTTGAACGGAAGTAAGAGCACCTTAATTTATTCGGGAGGAAAATGAGATCCACATTTCCCTCTACAAATAGGCCTCCCTGCTTTTTCCCCTCTCTTCCTAAAAAATTCTAGCAAATGATTTTTGTTGTGGCATGAATATTTATATATAAATGAAAAAAAATATTAATCGAGTAGACAGATTCAATCTCATGGTGATCTTTAGCATACAATTTGACATAAAGAATTAAGTGATATACTATTGACGTTGTAATTATCAAGGGATAACCTCTAGTCATGATGCTGTTGGTCAAGGGTTTTACATGTGGATGGTCGTGACTCGTGAGGGATGGATCCAGGGCTGTTGTTGAGCAAAAGGAATGGGGTTTGTTGGAATGTTGGATCCTATGCTCAGAAAGAAAAGGAAAGCGGGATGTTGCTCAAGCGTAATATAGTTAAAATCGCGTTTTAAACTTAAATACTTACGTTTTTACATTTTTAGGTCACCAAAATGCTTTTATGCAAAATCTCAATTTTTATAATTAATATAGTTAAAAACGCGCTTTAAAGTTTAAAAACTTACAATTTTATGCTTCTATATTACCAAAACACTTCTACGCATAAACACAATTTTTTACTACATTGCTCAAGTGTATAATTAGCATGGCGCTTCAAGATGATGTTTCAGTGGTGTGTGGAGGCGGGACTTTAGAAGGTTTTGATCGAAGCGGATGAGAAGATAGTGATTGACAAGGTGAATTTGGGCGTCCAAAGATATTGTATAGGAGGTTACTTGCATTATTCTTGAGTTTTCAAGTTCGTTTTGTTGGGGGCGAAACAATAAAGTAGTCTATGTAGTATAGTTAGTAAATACTCCATTTAATATACGTATATGTACCCGTATATATTTTATCCGTTTAAAATTTCTGTATCCGTATTATTGTCAACTCGTTTCATTTTTGTCCGTTCATTTGATGGCTCCCGTATTAAACACATGTAAAACCCGTATAACACGTTTAATATACGTATTTAATGAATTAAATCATTAAATTTACTATTATTTATATATTTATGTATTTTTAAAATAATTAATTTGATATATTAATGACTATTAACGTACTATTAAACGTAACATTAGCATAGAGAATAAGTAAAATGCCCGTCCATATCTTATACGTAACATTCCTGTATCGTATTTTACTAACTATGCTATGTAGTGGCTAATTTGGTTCTTTCTATGTTTCTTGTAATTTCTTGCTTGGCTCCTTTCAGAATATTCATCATGTAACTTTCGATATGATTAATTGCACCGGATATCACGTAAGTATTGATTTTGTTGCATACTAATCACATAAGTTTTTTTAGTTGCAACTAAACCACATAAGTCGATTTCAGGTTGCATCGTTATATTTTCCATCCTTAAACTTAACGGTGGATATCAAATTGAACATTTCCACCTTAATTTACACAATACCATTTTTCTTTCACTTTCTTCATCTCCACAAAATAAATATTTTTTTTATAAAAACGGAGGATTGAACAAACCCGATCACAATAGCCTTTTTAAATCCTTCTCTTGCTCTATGGCTGCCGATTCTCTTGTAAAATTATTTATAGAGTTGGAGATGGGGGGCTTCGGTTGCGAACTTTGGTAGAAAAACTGAGTTTCGCTTTGGAAGTCTTTCTTTAGTAGAACACTAGTAACATAGCTATGATAAAACTTCACATGGAATTTTCTCATTACTTTACTTTTTTTGTCTCTCGATATTTTACTGCCTAAGACCCCGTTTCTTGATTCATCTTTGCTCATTCAGTTTAAAACATTCCCTTGTATTTAATCTCAATATGTTTTTTTAGTTTTTATCTGATCGTCACCTGAAGTTCAGGTATGTAGAACTCAGCTAAAGAAATACTCTTTATGCTGGAACTTCTTACAACTCAAATATTCATTACAACACTTATACAACAATAACATGTACAAATTGATTTAACCATAAAAATCTATAATATATGAATTGAAACAATCTATAAGAGGGGCACCCAAAAAAATAGTTGTAAAAAAAAAGGCACCCAAAAAATTCCCCCGAAAGAAAAACCTATAGTGAGGTGCCAATTATGCCAAAGATTTTTTTTTTTTAGCAATAGACAATGGCATTACCAAATCAAAGATATCAATGTTTACAATCCAAAAAGAAACCACCGATCAAAGCCAATTATGCCAAAGATATAAAAAATGAAAAAAATAGAATAAGGATTGCATTTCACATCCCACATAAATATAAATTTAAAAAGTTTATTTTATTTGGAAGGAAGCCAAAGTTTAATTCAATTATACCCAAAAAATGAAATAATTGTAAATTTTGACGAAAAAAAAAGGAGGGCATACGATAATTAAAGAGAGCGCTAGTTATACCGAAATGAGATGGAAGAAATACCGAAATGAGATGGAAGAATGAGATGGAAAATGGAATGTGTAAATTGATGCGGAAAAATTCAATTTGATGCCTATCATTAAGTTTAAGGATGAAAAATATAACACTGCAATTGGAAGTCGACTTATGTGATTTAGTTACAACTAAAAAAAACTTAAGTGATTAGTATGGAACGAATCCATTATTTATGTGGTATGCGGTGTAATCATGGTTGTCACGCCGGCCGGCGTGCCACTGGTTGAACCTGGTTCAACTTGTGCCGGTCATAAAATCGGCATGACACCGCCGGTATGACCGGCACGATCGATATACGAATCTCCAAGTAAAATTATCTTATCTTAGTGAATTTAATTGATAAAAAGTAGTTTATTATTTATTTTATGTGTTAAAAAGTTAATGTTGATGTTATTTGTTGGATTCAAGTACAAATATTTAGGTATTTACGTTAAATGTCATATTTAAATATGAGTATTTGTAAATTATTTATAATATTAACCGGTATAAACCGGCACAAACTGATATGTACCATCGATCGAACCATTCCACTTGCTAAACCGACACACTGGCATAAACCGGTTTGACAACCTTTCTGTGTAAGTAACCATGTCTCAGCACCTTTGACAAAATGACAAGTGATGAACACGTCAACTTTTTCTTTCTTGATGGATATATTACGCCACTTTTCTTTCTATCGAAGAAATAGGAAAGGTGGGTTTCTTTCCTAATTTTAAAAAGAAAAAGGCAACTAAAGATCGCTAACGAACAAGGAGGATGGCAACAACAACAACAAAAATTTGCTATTAGTGGGATCTCTTTTGTACTGCACTAAACCCAGATGGATCACTCGCCAATATTCTGTTACAACTTACAAAGCCTGCCTAACTGCGTTGATCAGAGTAAATGTGGAGCAAATCGTTATCATCCTTTAGTCACCATAAGAAATACAGTTTACATATCTCAGAAGCCACAACTTATATGTATAATCGAGTACACAGCTTGAGTAAAAACGATAATGAGATTGGTTTGTAGAGTATTTTACCTCAAACTCGATGATGTCCTCATTTCCAATTCCTAAATTTACTTCTTTCACATTATCATACTATTATAGAATTTTCATAAATGAACCTTAGTTATCAAGGTCAAAACCAGACCGTCTGATCATTTCCAATTCCAAGTCAAATGTAAACGGATTAGTTCAATATTTCACACACTACCTTAAGGATTAGGGAATCCCAACTTCCCAACTCCCAAGCATGGGCTACTTCGTTACATATTCCTGGAGCCGAAACGAAACGGGCTTCGTTTCTGAGCCCAGGCTGATCCAAGGGCCAAGGCCCAATTCGACTCTGACTATGGTTCGGATTTACTTACGAGATAAATGATTTTCTATTGTTCACATTAACAGTTTAGCACACATAAATTGCTTCGTCATCTCCCTGAACCCCATTAATTCCCCCCATCACAATTCACACCCTTACACCCACGTTACACGTTTCCCGTAAAACCCGTAAGCCAGGGCGCATAAACAGTTTTACCACCAATCATCCTCTATAAAATCCAATCTCTCGAACCCCCCATCTCCGATAACCGTCCACCGCCAGTAAATCGAACCTTCCACTTCCAGCCTGCAGTAAAACCAACTGAGATCGAATCTGTGACGCAACGATGAGCAGATCCGCCGCCGCCGACGAAATAATCCTCAGCTACGACGACGCCGTCCTCCGACAATCCGATTTGCGCATCCTCAGCGGCCCCCGCTTCTTGAACGACAGAATCATCGAATTCTACTTCAGCTACCTCTCCTCCTCCTCCTCCTCCTTTCCCTCCGAAGATGTACTGCTGGTTCCGCCGTCGATCACTTTCTGGATATCCAACTGCCCCGACGCCGACTCCCTCAGCGAATTCGCGCAGCCGCTGAAGCTACCAGAGCGGAAGATCGTTCTGTTCCCGGTGAACGACAACGACGACGTGGAGGTCGCCGAGGGTGGGTCCCACTGGAGCTTGCTGGCGTACCACAGCGGAAGAAACGTCTTCGTCCACCACGACAGCTTGGGAGGGATGAACAAGCGCCCCGCCCGGCGGCTGTACTCGGTGTTGGCCAAGCTGATGGGGAAGGATGCCGCCGCGGCGGAGTACAGGGAGCACGCTGATTCTCCCCTGCAGCAGAATGGATACGACTGTGGATTGTTCGTGATTGCCACTGCCAGGGCGATCTGCAGTTGGTATGATGAACACCTCAAGCGCACGGGACTGAACGGAGACGTCGCAGCCGGTGAAGAGGAGCTTTGGTTTTCCGCGGTGAAGGAACAGGTGACGAAGGAGTCGGCTGGGAAATTGAGAAGCGAGATTCGCGACCTGATCACAAGCTTGATGGAGAGGAGAAAGAACTGAGGGGAACGCTTGTTTGTCTACAGCTTCACCTTTACAGTTTAGGTTCTGCATTTGGTCTACCGTTTCTTATTCTCTTTTAGCTGTGTTCTATAAGCAAGAAACGTTTCTGTTCCTTTTTATTATGTACTGTATTCTTTACCACAACCAAATAGGAGAAAAGATTGCTCAGAGAAGCTTACATTTCCAACCAAATCCAAACAGAGAAGCTATATGAAAATTTTAAAGGAAGTTGTAGAAAATTAAATCAGTTTAGCCTATTGCTGCTTTAAGATCTATTCATCTCTGCAAAAACGTTCTGTAATTACGGGCAAGGCAACATCCAAGAAGTAGCTAAGTCGAGGCTCGAAATACCCAGGTTTCTCGCCTAAGCCGATCATCACCTGGATTAGAAACCACAACCAGAGAAGATTTAAGGTGGTTGAAGAAATGAAGCATAAGCAAAATAATTGATAGGGTAATGCGTATTTACTGTATGTGAATGTCATTATAGCATGGTAGTATCGGCGGGATAACTCCCAAGAACTCGCAAGAAAGTTGCAAACTCCTGTCAAACAAGACAAACAACAATCAACACAAGTTTCATTATATGTCTAGCATCCAATTATGGAGAATTGCTGTGCAATGGTAAAGCTTGCGAAGGAGATGAGACGCACTTCCAGATGTTTGAGGGCGTTTTGAGCATTATCACTAGCCATTGATTCCTCGAAATCGACATAGAACATATAGTGAAAGCATCTGCAAGACCATACTACTGTCTTAGGTTACTGCAGAAGATGTTGAGCAATTTTGAGAGGCTATAAATGTAATGCAGCTATTTGTCAATAACTTACTTCTGAAGTCCATTGGCGTTCTCTCCAGGAGGTCTCAGAGAACTCCGCCTCCAAGGGCGGCTCTCGATCTTGTTCAAAACAGAGGGACATAAATCATGAACGTACTAATAGCATAAGAAATTTTGGGGTGGAATGTGGGGAGAAAAAGAAAATTACTTTCGTAAGGTTGATGTCTCTCATTGCAAAAACTGCAAGAGCCTTGAACAGTATTCCAGGGCCCTCCTCAAGTGAAAAGACTATGCTTGTCTGAAAAATCCAAGAACCAATATTATTATTATTATCCCCTGCCTGTTAGTTTAGTCAGGCAACAGTAAATAACTTTTCCACTACAATATTAATGTCAAGTTAACCTTGAAAGGACGGTAAGTGCCCGGAATTAAAGGGTCCCTCGCCAACATCAGAAATCTTGTCACGTTGTCAGAATCATCCTAATAGAATAAGAACACGGTTATGACATGTCTTTCTAGCATCAAGAAAAACATCAGGAATACAAGAAGATGCTGAAACCTGAATGTCTTCTGCTAATATATCTAAGCCATAGATTTCAGCTGCAGCCGAACTAGCAACAGCTCCTGTGTCCTCCAATTTGCTGAGTGCAACATACTGCAATCAGATGGTTTGATTTAGCAGCAGAAACATAAACAAAAATCCTGGATAAGGTTAGCCACTTGGTATAGTTCCTCCATTACAACCCCAAAGACAAAACAAAGGATAGTGCAGCAGACCAACATAAACCTGGAATATCTCCCATCTCATCTTACCTTAGCTGCACCAGCAGTATCATCCACTGCTTCTCTCACCAATCCCAACCGCGTTAATGTATACTCGCATTGAGCAAGAGCCTGAAATATGTTCCAGTAGATCCCCCCGTTGGTTGAAGAACTTGAAAAGGACTCCATGAAAAAGAATGTTCAGCAATATACCTGGGGATGACTTAGAACCCTCTTCAAGTCATTAACTTTGACACCTGGATTCGCTAGCAAGCAATGACGAACAGCATATTTTATTTCTCCCACTATATGCAGCTTGTGTCGGAGTAACAGGTCATAATTTCTGTGGATACTCCCACCCAAAGAGTTTTCAATGGGTAACACAGCTCTGTCCACAGTCCAGCCTTCAACTGCCTATAGAGGTGAATGGCAAAAGGCCATATAACATTATTAGAACATCCCACAAAGATTACAATGCTTGAAAAGGCTTCGATGGGATGGAGTTTGAATTCTGAAAAAGACAAGATCTGTACAACAAATTAAATCTAATGGTCAACCACCATTCACTGTAGAACTGCACAACTGAATTCTAACTCCTATAGTAGTTAAGAAAGTTATGATCTACCTAACAGTAACCATAAAAAGGCCTAATTTGAGATACTCCACAGCAATTAAAACATCAATGGTATTATAACTCTCCCTTTCTTATCCCTTATCCCCTCTGGTGAGTGAAAACTTGGAGTTTCAAGGTACTGAAAGCCCATTCTCCAAACCCTTGAAATTCCTAGTTTCTATGTTTACAATCAAAAGAAAATATCCAAATCCAGTAAAGGAAACAAGCATCAGTTTGGAGTCACTTACTTCAAATGCAGTTTCGAATTGATCACACGGCACTGCCTCACAGTTGGGATATGCCTTCTGAGCAGCAGATTCACTATACGCCCCACAAACCCCCTGCATGCAAATTTCCATTTCAGTAAAACAGAAAACCACCTCGAGTTTAAAATCCCTTTTTTTCACGAATTCATACCGAAATACAGAAAGTCACATCTAACCTGATAAGCAACGCGGAGGCGAGAACCACCGGAGCCTGAATTAGCCAGTCGCGCCGACGTCAAAGGCCCTGTTGAAATCGGGCAATAGGAACAACAATTGAATTCAATCCCTACAACGGAAATCATAAAAAGAAGAGAATCGAACTCGTTGATAATGCCTACTCGGAAGCGAATCCTTGGTGAGCACATCGCAGGCAGCGGGAACAGCTCCATCGCCCACCTTCAACTCCAACGCCTGTGTGCCATTCTTGCCCTCGTACGATTTGTTGTTGCCTGAGCCTGAGGTGGAGGCTCGCACCGACACGCCGCAGTGCCGTCTGACGGAGATCAACGACTGCGGCGAGTGAGTGGAGCGCGAGGGTTTAGCGGAGATTTGGCCCGGGAGAGGGGAAATTAAGGATCGCGTTAGGGAAGCGGCCATCGTAGATTCCGCAGATTGTGATGCATGCGAGAGGACCTCGTCGCCGGCGGTAAACAGCAGATTAGGAGATGGAGAGAGAAGAGGAGAATTACCCGCGGAAATGTGACGGTGACTTTCGCTTGGGTTGAAAGGAAAATGAATGAGGGCTCGCCCAATTCCTTCAAAGTTTCGTTAAGCAGCGGAATAGAAAATCAAGGGGCTACTTCCACGTCAGGTTTTGAATATTGTGGCCTCTAGCACGCCTACGTGGCATATAACAGCTGTTTTGGGCTTTTTCTGTTTTTGTTCGTAAAGCTTCAACCACCATAAAACGGCCCAATTGTTGGGCCACTGTAGATTCTGTTTTACATCAAAGTACTTGCTGGCTAGTTTCCAGTGATTGAGGCTTTCCGGATGACCTGATCACTCGAGAATGAATTAAGAGTAACCCACAACCTAGCCCAACAAACTCATCAGCCCATTGAACCCCCTGCTGGTCCAAATCCACTGCAGCAAATCACGTTCTTGCAACCAAACGAGTCTCATTCTTAACAACTTCCGCAAACATATATTTCAATGATCAAATGCAGTGAAAATCGTGATTTAAAATTTAATAATTTACGGTTTTACAGTTCTAGATCATCAAAACGTTTTCGTTTTCATATGAAATCATTAGTGTATAAAAATAAAATCGGACTAAATTTCGCTTTAAAGTTTAAAATCATATGCTTTTACGCTTCTAGTTCACCAAAACGTTTTATGCTTTTACGCTTTTAGTTCACTAAATGGGTAATAAACCAACGATATGCTACATTTGAGATTAAAATATATATTCCAGGTACTTGGATGCATTCTCAACTTCGATAGAGTAATCTAATTCACCAGCTAGGCCCTTCCCAAATTCATTAGCATAGAGGGGAATGTGGCTTATTGTTAAGATCTATGTTTATGAACTTATTATTAACATGCTATAAGTTGCTCTACTTTATACATGAATTGCAAATATATATTAACTTATCTAAATTCTGTGCATTCATATTTTATATAGTATATGTCGTACTTAACATATTTTTAGTTATTTTACTGTATGCGTAAAAAATTTACACTTTGATTCTACGCTTTACGATTTCACCCCTTTTTCGTTTCTAGGTAGAATCGCGCTTTTTACTGCATTGGTTGTACAGTAAATAATGGGTTGATCTAGCGGTATTACCGTTGCTTGGTCTAGGGATTTCAAGTTCAAAATTTTTATGAACCATCCTTATCGCCAAAAACTCATCTTCAGTAGTATATAAAAAATCAATAGTTGCATACAATTTGTGACTGAAACTGGATTTTTTTGTAAAAGACTCCATCCATATTCGCCCATCTCCCTTCGTTTGATTTTGGTGATTGTTTGGTAATGTATGCATTGTACACAATGCATCATTTTTTTTTAATTTTTTTTGTTGTTGAAAGAATGACGTCAAGCGTCTAACTCATTAACATAATCGAACGATCATAGGCAATGGCCATTACATCGTGTAACAACCATCTCCCAAGTTCCGGGTCGCACACATTGAAGCGATGTGTGCCAAAATGAACAGAATGACCCCTATTGGCTAGGAAATCAGAAGTAAAATTTGCTTCCCTAAACACATGATTAATCCTAACTTCACAATTTCTACTAAGCAGAACATGGAACTGCCTGGCTAGAATGCCATGTCGATGGTCATCATCCGCGAAGTTTTTGATGATCTCGATGGTGGCAGTGGAGTCCATATTTAGTTGGACTTTCCTAAAGCCTCTTTCCCAAGCAATCCATAGCCCTTCAGCGGCGCGTTTAAGTTCAGCCCCTGTGATTGTGCAGCTGCCCAGATTACAAGTGAAGGCATCAAAGCACCTCCCTAAGTGATCCCGCAGGAGGCCTCCTGCTGCAGCTTTCCCTGGCGGTGCGATAAAAAATCCATCGGTTTGAATTTGAATCCAACTGACCTCAGGTGGCTGCCAGGTGATCTGATCAGTTCTGGATTGCCTTCTTGGTCTGCAGCCTTCCTCTTCGTCCTTTTCTTGAACTCGCTTAATGATGTTAAGCCAAGCTTTAACTCTATAGCGTAGTCCAGATTCATTGAAAGTTCTTCCCTCCATCACTTCCTCATTCCTTTGTTTCCACAGATTCCAGCATATGACTCCGAAATCAACCCCCTTTTCATCGTGGAGAAGATTAGAGAGGAGCCACTCCTGGAAAGGTCTGTTTGCATCAGTTGTAGTTAGCTTGCAGCGGAATTTCTCCCACAGATTTTTTGCCTTCTCGCAGCCCCTCAAAATGTGCTCAATTGATTCCTCACAATCTGTGCAATGGTTGCAGTTGCTATTAGTGGTGATGTTTCTTCTTGCACGTTCCTTGTTGGTGAAGACTCTGCCGTGAAGAACAAGCCACAGTAAGTGCTTGATTCTACTGGGACCTTTCCACCTCCACAGCGCTTTCCAAGTGCCCTCCTCATCATCATCTTCTTCTTCCAAGTTAGCAGCAAGGTTATAAGCAGACTTGAGCCTGAATCTTCCATCGCGCTCCAATCCCCAGATCATCTTATCATCCCCCAGCACTGCATTTGGTTTCTCCATTCCTGCAATAAGCAAAAGGATGTCGTCAGAGAGCAGCATTTTAAGCCTTTCCCAGTTCCACTCTCCTCCTTCAGTGACCCAGTGTGACACATGATACTCTTTTTCCTCTTCTGTGATCTCTTTGATCAAGTATTCCTCCTGGATCAAGCCATTCTCGATCCAAGGGTGTCTCCATAAGCTTATTGTATCCCCATTCCTGATACTCCAGCAAGAAGCTTCCTTCATCATAGGCAGAGCTTTCACCACAACTTTCCAAAGACTAGAGTGGTTGGTCTTCTTCATAGTAGTAATGTTCCCATCCCTATGCTTGTAATACTTTCCCTGTAACACCTGAACCCAAAGATCATATTCGGTGTTAAGCATCTGCTAAGCTAGTTTGATCATGCATGCTTTGTTTAAACAACGAGCTGATCTAAGGCCAAGCCCTCCTAATTTCTTTGGCATGCAAATCTTATCCCAGGAGACCAGATGAGGTTTCCTTTTGCCATCCTTGGATCCCCAAACAAAACACCTAATTTTCCTATCGATATCATCACAAACAGACATGGGAATGGAAGTTGTTTGCATAGCATACATGGGAATAACATTAAGAACAAATTGAGCAAGATAACTCTCCCTGCCAGAGGGAGAGTCCTAGCTTTCCATGAGGTGAGCTTCTAATCGATTCTGTCTAAAATGTATCTATAGGTACCCTTAGTGAGTCTGCCATGAATCACATGAACTCCAAGGTATCTACCAAGGTCCTTGGTTTCTTGGATGCCAAGACAACTACATATATTCTGTCTATCATTTTGCTTGACATTCTTGGAGAAGAAGGTTCTACACTTCTCTTTACTGACCAATTCACCAGATGCAACACAAAAAGACTCAAGACACTTAATGATAGTGCAGGCATTAGACAAATTGGCTTGAGAGAACAACACCAGGTCGTCAGCAAAGAAAAGATGAGAAAGAGCAGGGCCACCAGGGGAAAGACACACAGGTTTCCAGTTACCATCATTCACTTCTTTCAGAATGCAGTGGCTTAACCTTTCAATGCACAAAGTAAAAATATAAGGTGAGAGGGGACATCCCTGTCTTAATCCTCATGAGGGGGTGAAGGTGTCAATCTCTCCCCCATTCCACAGAACCTGAAAAGAGGTGGCGGTCACACATGCCTTGATCAATCTGATGCAGTCATTAGGGAGATGAGCAGCTTTGAGCGTTTCCTCAAGGAACTTCCAATCAATTCTGTCATATGCTTTAGCTAGGTCAATTTTAAGGAGCATGATCCCTTTCTTGCCAGCCTTCCTAGACATTAAGTGGACAGTCTCCTGCAAAATAATGATATTGTCATTTATGTGGCGGTTTGGTACAAAGTTGGATTGGTTAGGATGAATGATGAGGAGGCGGCATTGCCATGCACCGGGCCAGCTACTTAGCTTCTGTTGTTTCATTCTTTCTTTCGTTGTTTTTTTATCTTTCCTTGTCCACGTCGGTTAGGATAGTTTTGATCTTTCCTTGTCAAAGTCGGTTAGGGTATTTTGTAACTCTTTATATAGCGTGTTCTATGTTCGGAGACGGCAGTTTTTATTGATTGAATAAAGAAGAAAAGAGGGCTTTCCTCGCATAATTCGGCTCGAGTATTCCTTAGAATCAACGAGACTCGATCTACTATCCCTTTCCCCACGCACGCTGCATCAGATTGGTATCAGAGCCTGACCGATCCCGAGGGATGCCGCCCCGTCGACAGGCGCGAACCTACAACACGGAGGACGTCGATTTTGCTGAGTTGCGACGTGAAAACGCGGAGGTTCGCCGCGACAATGACGAGCTGCGGCGCCAGGTTGAAGTTCTGACCCAGCGGATGGATGAGGTTGTCCAGTTGCAACGTCAATATGATGAAGTTACCTTTGTTGACGAGAACCTGTTCGCTGAACCCCGCCCACGCTCACCCGAACGCCCTAATCATAGGGGGGAGCAGGGGTTTAGGGTGGAGGTTCCACAATTTGATGGCAGCCTGAAGCCGGAAGAATTCCTCGACTGGCTCTCCCAAGTAGAGGAGATTTTGGACTTTAAAGACGTTCCCGATGACCGGCGTGTCCCACTGGTGACAATCCGATTGCACGGTCACGCCCAAGCGTGGTGGCAGCAGCTGAAGCACACCCGAGCGCGGCAAGGCAAGGCAAAAATCGCGAGCTGGCTCAAGTTTCGGAAACACCTGCGGGCGGCGTTCTTGCCCTACAATTTTGATCGGGAGCTCTACCAGCGATTCCAAAACCTACGGCAGGGCGCCCTTTCCGTGGACGAATATTCGGCTGAGTTTTATTCTTGTTTGGCGCGCGTGGACATCAGTGAGTCCCCGCTTTAGCTGGTTTCTCGTTATATCGGTGGTCTACGTCTTCAACTGCAGGACGTTCTCAACATGTTTGATCCCGTCAGCGTGGCGGAGGCCCAACAACGAGCAGTTCAAGCTGAGAAGCAGCTAGCTCGTCGCGGCCTCAACAACTTCAGGCCTCCGAACACCGCTCCTGTATTCCCCCCACCCCAAGTTCGGGATAGCCCTAACCCTCCACCAGCGCGACCCGTGCCAGGCAACACACAGGGGCGATTGGGCGCGTTGCGTTGCTTCAACTGTGGGGAGATGGGACATCGTCAGGTGGATTGTTGAAACCCGAAGGCCAACACATGCGGCCTGTTTACGGAAGGTGAGTCGCTGGAACCGGAGTTCACTGGGGATGCAGACCCAATCTATGACCAATACGAGGAGGCAGCGGAGTACGTCTCTGGTAACGTAGGTCCCTTGCTGGTGCTCCGGCGGTCGTGCTTAACCCCACGTGTCTCTGATCATGAGTGGCTACGCAATAACCTCTTCCATTCCACATGCACAATAGAGGGAAAAGTTTGCACCTTCATCATCGATGCCGGTAGCTGTGAGAACGTGGTTTCCGAAGTGGCGATCGCAAAGTTAGGATTGACCACTGAATCCCATCCCAAACCGTATCGCCTTTCTTGGCTGAGTCAGGGAACAGATGTCACTGTCTCTCAACGCGTGCTCGTGAATTTCTCAGTCGAACCTACCTATCGGGACGCGGTCTATTGTGATGTAGTCCCCATGGATGCATGCCACTTACTCTTCGGCCGGCCCTGGCAATACGACAACTCGGTTCTGCATGACGGGCGAGCCAATACCTACACATTCCTCTTCCGGGAATGAAGATTGTCCTGATGCCAGCCAAGCCTAAGGGCGGATTGCACCCGCAACGACCAGCCCTCACACCGCCCACAACCCTGTTGGCTCGAGGTCCCTTCCAGGCGGCCATGCGAGAATCAGGCTTGGTGCTTGTGGTGTGTTGCTCCCTCCTTTCGCACACTTCCCCGCAACCTATGCCTGTTCCTGTTCAGCAATTGTTGCGGGAATTCGCTGACGTTTTCCCGGAGAACCTGCCACAGGAGTTACCGCCACTACGTGACATTCAGCATCATATCGACTTGGTCCCTGGTGAGGTTCTCCCCAACCGTCCCCACTATCGTATGAGTCCCCAAGAACACGAGGAGCTACGTCGTCAAGTCGAAGACCTCCTGGCCAAGGGACATGTCCACGAGAGCCTTAGTCCGTGTGTTGTTCCCGCTCTCCTCACGCCCAAGAAGGACGGCTCATGGCGCATGTGTGTGGACAGTCGGGCCATCAACAAGATCACTGTTCGTTATCGATTTCCGATTCCACGCTTGGATGACCTTCTTGATCAATTGGGTGGCGCAACAATGTTCAGTAAGCTGGACTTGAAGAGCGGGTACCATCAGATTCGCATCCGCATGGGCGATGAATGGAAGACGGCTTTCAAGACTCGAGAAGGTCTATTCGAGTGGCTAGATATGCCATTCGGTCTCTCCAATGCACCTAGTACATTCATGCGGGTGATGAATCAAGTCCTGCGGCCATTCATTGGGACGTGTGTCATCGTTTATTTCGATGACATTCTCATCTATAGTGCGGATGAGAAAACTCATTTGGACCACCTCCGTGACGTGCTTCTCGTTCTCCGTCGCGAGAAGTTCTATGCAGCGACCACTAAGTGTGCCTTCTTCTCAGCATCCATTCAGTTCCTGGGATACGTCGTCTCGCGGGAAGGGCTCAAGGTCGACCCAAGCAAGGTGCAGGCCGTCGCTCAATGGCCTCATCCCTCGTCGATCACCGAGGTACGCAGCTTCCATGGCCTCGCATCGTTTTACCGGAGGTTTATCCCACACTTCAGCGGGATTATGGCTCCTCTCACGGATTGCATCCGAG